GCGCTCGCCAACTTTCGCTGGATCCGCCGGCAGCGCCGATGGCTACCGTCGAACGTGAGGGGTCGGCCGGTCAGGACCGATTAGGGGTCAGGCGGCCGGGATCCTAGATGAAGAGTGAAACTCTCGCCGGGCAGGAAAGCTGGCCGCCCGCCAGCTGGAATGTGTGGGAGCTCGCTCCCGCCCGGCCTGGCCGATTTCGCCGTCAGCGCGCCGGAGAGGCGAGCTGGAGCCGACCGCGAGCCTTCGGCCGTAGCGCTGGGCGGCGATGCGAGACTGCTGCTCTTCAGCCGGTCCGCTGGGAATGTCCAGGCAGAAGCAAAGCACCCAGAGTTGGAAAACCAGCGTTTGTCCCCGAGCAGTGCGGTGAAAGAGGCGAGGAATGTGCGCCATGCGTCTGGGAAGCTGCGGGACAGTGGGAGGCTATCGCCTGTCGGTCGGGAGAAGTGGTGGATCACGAGCGGACATGTGTCTATATCCCAGAAATGGAATCTGGAGTTAGTTCTCTGAGACGTGTGTGCCCAACATATTTGTGCGCGCATGTGCGCGAGAATGGCTCCGGGGATGTATTCTTTAGGCCCCAGGGATCGCTGGGGGGGGGGGGGGGGGGCATGTGGTCAGGGCTGTCAGTTTACAGTGTTTCATGCGTGGCTGTTCGCATCGCATTGCCCAGTTCAGTAGAGAATGAAACCCGCCCCAATGGCAGAAATGCTTCGTCACATGCTGATGAAAATGCTGTATCACTGAGAGAGAGAGTCAGTTAGAGCCAGCGGTAGTTATGTACCGAGAATCGCATCCGTTTATGCAGCCTAGCTGGTAGAGCTGCGGACACTGACCAGCTGGTGGCAGGCATGTGGGCTGGCGTTGCTGGTGCGGTAAGTCTGCAGCTGGCTTAGAGAGCCGGACTCCACCTTTTGCTAGACAATTTTCCCTTGGATGGAAAGTTTCTGTGGGCAGGATATAGGTGAAGTGCATTAAAAACTGAGAAGAAAGTGATGTGACCAAGAAACCCCGAGAAGTGCAATGGTTATAGACAAAGGGAGCCTAGGATTAGTAATGACGAAATGGTTTCCCTGTTCAAACGTCAGTTGGCCCTCTTGGACGCCTACCAAGCGGGCTGAACTGAATTATGAAGAAATCATGCTGACATTATTGACGCAGAGAGCAAGCCACCTTCATGCAGAAACAACACTTACTTGATATTTTGATATTTTGAGTACCGATGTGGTTGGCGCATAAAACCAGCCATTCGCACTTCAGCCCAAGAGCACCCTCATGCATTTTCTTCTCACTAGTATATCATATATAATGTTTCAACACCAACTCAGAATTGGGTTAGCAAAGGTATTTGATGTGCCCAGAGAGGAATTAGATAACTTAAGCGGCAATAACAACTTAATCCTGTATGTTAAGCACCAAGACGAACGGTCACGCCACCTTAGTTGCATTACACTCGTCGTTCTCGGCGCACAACACGACGCAGGCATAGACTGGCGAAATGCAAATGCCTGACCACAACCGCTCAACCATCTGGCATCGTTTCAGCCTCCTTTATGCCTGTCACAACTAGTTGCTTCGTACGAGCAAGTTACATGGCCGAAATGAAACGTTGAGTGTCGCCGCAGGCAGGGCCGTGAGGGAATGTAAAATAGTGTATTTTGTGGACGAAGGCACAGCGACGGTCGCGATTCTAATTGAGGAAGATCTGGCTAGAATATGTTCATTCGTTTTCGTTACAATGAATAGTGAAAACTATTGACTCTCATATGGAACAATAAAGTACGTTTCACAAAATCGATGTACAAGCAAACGAAAGTCGTGGCTGCTCGTACCTGCTTTGTATCACTTTTAGCTATTTTTCGTATGCTCTATCTTTGTTTTATTCTTATCTTTTGCTAGTTGAATGTGCTTTAAGAGCAATGTTTTACATAATACATCGACGACGTTGCCGGCATCGGGACCCATAGGGTGCTGAAATGAGGCTACTCATTCCTCAGCGAAAATGAGGCCAATGATGCGATTTGATTCAAACATATATTTTCAAACATAAAGTTATGTTGAAGCTATCCGGATAGCGAATCTGTACTCCTCTGGGTCGGGTCGGGTCGCTACATCAAACACAGTCTATCCACACCTCGTAAAAATATCGTGAGCTGTTTCGCGACTCGCTCGCAATCAGTCGTCTTTGCAGTCGCGCACTGTACTATGTACGAGTTAAAATGCATGCTTCAATGCTTCAGACAATCCCCTCTGGGTGTCCGTGGCGCGAGTGACTTTGACTGAATGTCTCTGCCGTCAAACAGCCCATTTGAGTGCGTGTGAGGAGGCACGAGCGAGGACGCGCGCGCTAAGGCTGGCCGTTTCCGGCGTCCTCTGTCTCAGCGGGTCAGTAGGACTCCTGGCGCCGCGGGCGGTGCGGCCCGGCCGCCTATTCCACCCCTCCTTCGCTTATCATTACCGCCGCTCCGGGGTCCACCGTCCGTCGCCATGCTGATTGGGAGGCACGCCCGTCGATGGTTAGAACGCCGGGTGTCAGCCCAGACGGGTGAGGACTTTGCCAATGGATCGTGGCCGATCGGTCACGGCGGCCCGTAGAGATGGCATGCTAGGGACAGTCAATGGGGCCTTGTTGTTATTGTATTCCGTCGAACGTCTGTCGTCTACGTAGTGGAATGGTGATGAGATGCGCGGAGGGCATCAGTCGGCGAGTTTAGGGTGGATGGACCCGCTTCCGAGCTCTGCTGTGTTCTGTCGATGCCGACAGATTCCGATCATGAGTGAACGAGTCGGAACGGCGTGGAACATTGCCATCTACCTGGCATGGGCATGTTGGCGGGTGTGCCCTGTTTGTGTTTCACGCGCAGAGTGGGTCACGGGGTCCGTGTCTCCCGTAACATGTGGGAACTAACGTCCTAGGCATGTGAATTGCTAGCTGACCCTGTAACTGGTGGGAACTGATGTGCTGGCCATGTGAATAGCTCCGTGACAGCGTCTGTCGAATGACGCTCAAAGCTATAAACAGCATCATATGTGTCATATTTTTACGTCTAGAGGAAGTATTGTGTGTACTGAACGTGTCTCCTGTAAACTGCCAGATTTGCTTCGGGTAAGGCTGCTCTTGACCTGGCTGCTAGGTGTTTATTCCGCATGGCTAGCCGTGACACGAATCGCGTTATTATGATGTGCGGTGGGCTGTCAATGCCAGCTGCGCCCAGTCCACTTCCGCAGGTTTTGTTCGGATTACGCTGCTTGTAAACACTTGAAGTTTAATGATAATAATTCAACACGCTCGATTGGCAAAGGGGATGCCAGAGACCCTCAAAAGAAAACGCGCCTGTCTTCGTTCAACGTCATGGCACGCACCGACTGTGTGTTAGTGAAGATAGGATCGAAGTCCTCGTTACGTATGTTTAGCTTATTGTGCTGCTCCTGAGCTTCCACCTGAACGATCAAACACAAACACCTCATCAGTCGTAGAGTCGTAAAAGGAGAGTGTAATCCTTTTCTACAAAAACGGATATCGTTCCAATGTTGAGCTTCTGATTGCGGACATCTCAATAAATACACTCAAGTGAGTGTATATATATATATATATATATATATATATATATATAATGTTTAAGTATAAGTATAATAACCTATACGTAGTGGGCATGTCTTTCGATAGGGTGCAATTCACCACTGTTGATGCGTGGTGGCCGAAAAGCAGTACACAAGACATTTTGTGTTGTGTTACTACTTGCTTAAGCTTACGAATAATTTTTTGCCTATCATTTATCATAACGAGAGGGTATAATGTGAAGTGGTCTGCTACAATGGCATTCTCTTGTGCACACTAAGCAACAGTGGCCCTGTCTCTCACGGGAATGTTGTTTTAATATCTAGGGCATGGAATATCTAGGGCATGAAATGGCCGTGGTCGGATAATCTGTGTCGGACATGTACTCTGCCCGGTCATGTACTGCCCTGGTCAAAAATGCATGTCCAGTGCATCCGCTGAAGCATTGTCATGGAGTTAACTCACTTGCTGCCCCGTTACTGCCAATGTCTAAAAAGTGCAGAAGGGAGGGGGAGAGGAGGGAGAGATTCACACCCACTGCGACGCTCGGTGACGTTTGCCAATGACCGGCACCAACTGAGGGGGGGGGGGGGGGCGCCCCTCACGCCGGCCGAGCGGGAGACGCCGTGGGTGGCTGCTGGGCCGACCGACCGTCTCCCGGTTAGCTGCCGTTCGCGGACGGGCTGCCGAGGGTCCCGTGTGGCGCCGCCGGCTGGCAAGGATCCCATGTGGCTCGCCGACCAGAGCGGCATGCGACCACGTCAAAGATGAGTTTGTTTTGTCCGTGTGCAGAGCCTCAGCATGGCCACCGCCAGGCCTCCGAAAACCTAGTCTTGAAGACCGGGTCTTCAGAGGCCTGGCGGGGGGTCGCTGACCGCACACTACCCGTGCCAGCGCCATGGTGCTGAAACCAGAACAACAGATGCCTTGAAGCGAGCTTTAAACGGGAAAGGATGCCAAATTGATGATTTTGACTACGGACCTTACTGCACGGATGTTCACGTTACCGCGTATACCTCACCTCAAGATTATTTGTTGTTCCTTTGATTTGAGGAGTATTGAACAGGTGAAACTCCGGTAGCTGTTGTGTTAACTGACCTGTGAGGTGTACACCTTCAACGCATAGTTTACTTCGCTGAGTCTGTCCCTGGAAAATCCCGCCATGAACGAAAATTTTATTTGACGCAGTTGGCAAAAAAAAACAACAAAAACAGTGACTACCTATTTGTATAGCATCAACGGCTGAGGAGCGTCTGACCTTGAGTTTGCCAGCATTATTGACGGTACCGGCATCGTTGTCCGATACACATGAAAGTTGCAAGCAAGTCACAAATATGTGTTTTTCAGGACGAGGTGATCTACGTGTTCGAGCGCATAGCCCTGTCCCCGGAGGAGGTGTGCGGTATGGTGGTGGGCGACGTCTGCGCCATCCCCTACAACCCCTGGCATGACTGGACCGTGCCGCTGCCCAACATACCAAAGCCGTACACGCCGACGCCGGAGCCTGACGTAAGTGCATTTTCGAGAATGAAAAAAAGAAAAAGGGAAAAGACTCGAGGAAAGCGACCCGTCGGGGCTGCTCGCTGCCCTACATACCGAATACCTCCTGCGTGCTGTGGGCTTTGCGCAATGGACTCCATAGGCTGGCATTTAGTTTGGGAAAGGAATGCTTACGCTGGTCTCTGCCTGGGTATGTACCTAACACAGGCCATCCATGTTCGAACGTCTTAACGTATCTTCTGAAAATCCAAATGATCTGTGTTTATCAAAAGTGGGCACATGACCTTTGTTTTTTTTCCCAAAGTCATGCTCCTGAAGTGTGTCACCCGGAAGACATAGGTCATTTTTGCGTTCTGGATGCTATCAATAGACCACAAACTACTTGAAACGGAACTCGTGTAGGACGTCTACTGGTCGATACAACGACATAGTCCACGCTATTTAACATGCGCAACCTACCCTACCAGTAGTTCAGCGAGTGAGATACGCGTCGTTATAAAGTCCATCACCGTGCTGGTATTGTCATCAAACATTCATTCCCCGGTTCTACGTATTTGTTGATGATCACTTGACAAACTACAACAGCGGTGGGGTGTCGCGCCGTCTCTCAGCCTGGCCGCTGGCGGCAGTCTGCCAGGCGCAGGCTCCAGGGTAGCGCAGGCGCGCGCCGGCGCTCATAGCCACGCGCTCGGTGTTCCAGCCGGACGCGCCAACGGCCCGCGTGCTGCACATTTCGGACACCCACTTTGACCCGTACTACAAGGAGGGTACTAACGCCGACTGCGGGGAGCCGCTCTGCTGCAGGTACGTCACCTCGTCAGTGCACGGTCAGATCGGTGGGAGCCACTCCTCTGCAGGTATGTCATCTCGCCAGCTTATGGTCAGATCGGCGGAAGCCGCTCCTGTGCAGGTACGTCACCTCGCCAGCGCACGGTCAGATCGGTTGGAGCCGCTCTGCTGCAGGTACGTCACCTCCTGGGAGCCGCTCCTCTGCCGGTACGTCGCCTCGTCAGGGCACGGTCAGACCGGTTGGAGTCACTCCTCTGCAGGTACGTCGCCTGCTGGGAGCCGCTCCTCTGCAAGTACGACGCCTCGCCAGCGCACGGTCAGATCGGTGGGAGCCGCTCTACTGCAAGTACGTCACCTCCTGGGAGCCGCTCCTCTACCGGTACGTCGCCTCGCCAGCGCATGGTCAAATCGGTGGTAGCCGCTCCTCTGCAGGTACGTCGCCTCGCCAGCGCATGGTCAGATCTGTGGTAGCCGCTCCTCTGCAGGTACGTCACCTCGCCGATGCATGGCCAGATCAAAGCCAGGCGGACGGCACAGTGGTTGCCGAAGGCATCGGACGACCGAGGAGATAATGCTTACTTACAATACGTCCGGAGGTGTGTTCTATCCTCGTGATTTGTTCGGTACCGTTCTTTGTGGCAGCCGCCGGATCGTAAAGCCACAACATTTTTCCAATTTTTGGTTTCATTGCGACCGTTGTGCGATCCCAGTATATCATAATGTAACTGACAATACGGTGGAACAGGTGCTGATTTAAAGTTGCTTCTAGCGCAGCTTTGCCTCCGTCCTAGCAAACTTAAAGTCGGGACCCTCTTTGCATTCCCAATTCCTTAAAGACACTGCTCATTTCCTGTCGTACGTTTTGGTGTGTTTAGTGGGCACGACCGGTTCGTGACCTGGTTATGCGGCGTTGTGCTTCTGATCGATGGCCGGGTCCGTTGGTGCCGTCTTCCTGGTCATGTGTATGTGGGTTTGAGCGCCTCGCAGCAAATGCATATCCAGCGCGGTGGCGTTGCTGGCTAAGCGCAAAGGAATCAGACGATGAATGGTCATCTTTGCCTTGTGGCGGTCGCCGAGTACTGCTTATTGTAAAATGGATGGTCATCGCATGGATTTCTCTCTCTCTCTCTCTCTCTCTCTCTCTCTCTCTCTCTCTCTCTCTCTCTCTCTCTCTCTCTCTCTCTCTCTCTCTCTCTCTCTCTCTCTCTCTCTCTCTCTCTCTCTCTCTCTCTCTCTCTCTCTCTCTCTCTCTCTCTCTCTCTCTCTCTCTCTCTCTCTCTCTCTCTCTCTCTCTCTCTCTCTCGCTCTCGCTCTCGCTCTCGCTCTCGCTCTCGCTCTCGCTCTCGCTCTCGCTCTCGCTCTCGCTCTCGCTCTCGCTCTCGCTCTCGCTCTCGCTCTCGCTCTCGCTCTCGCTCTCGCTCTCGCTCTCGCTCTCGCTCTCGCTCTCGCTCGCTCGTCTCCCTCCCCTCTGTTTCCTTCCCACTGGATGGTTAGCTCACCCTGTGTGCTAATCTCGGCCGTCCGGTCTAGATTCGCCGGCCGCTCCTGCGCCGTTACGTCAATCCCGTGCAGAGCGCCAGCTCCCCCTCCCCCACGCGTCCGTCAGATGGTGCCAGCCCCCCCCCCCCGCGCGTCCGTGCACAGTGCCAGCTCCCCCCGCGCGTCCGTGCACAGAGTGCCAGACCCCCGCGCGTCCGTCCACAGAGTGCCAGCTCCCCCCGCGCGTCCGTGCACAGAGCGCCAGCTCCCCCCCCCCCCCCGCGCGTCCGTGCACGAAGTGCCAGGCCCCCCCCCCCCGCGCGCGCGTCCATGCACAGAGAGCCAGCTCCCCCCGCGCGTCCGTGCACAGAGTGCCAGCTCCCCCCACGCGTCCGTGCACAGAGTGCCAGCTCCCTCCACGCGTCCGTGCACAGAGTGCCAGACCCCCCCCCCCCCGCGCGCGCGTCCGTGCACAGAGTGCCAGCCTCCCTCCCCCCCCCCCCCCTATGCGCACACATCGGTGTGCAGAGTACCAGCACCGCCGACAGCCTGCCATTACCGATGCATGTATCACACGCTGGGCGTCGTCCGACGACAGGGTGACCAGCGGCTACCCAAAGCGCAAGGGCGGCGCGGCCGGCTTCTGGGGCGACTACCGGCGCTGCGACACGCCGCTGCGCACCATCGAGAACATGCTGCAGCACATCTCGGACGTGCACGGCCCGGTGCGTAGCTGGCGGCGCGCTCACGGCTCACCGGCTGCCGGACCGGCATCCAGCCGGGCTGCCATGTCGGTCTTCTGAGACGGTGTGCAGATAACTGTCGCCTCATGCTGCTGGGCACAGGCGGTGTGCACGTGAGCATGCTGTGTCAGTGGTCACGGACGGTGTGTATGTGCGCGTCCCACGTAAGTTGACACAGCCACCGTCACTGTTTGTGATGGTCCGGACGGACTTGCCACGCACCGTTACAATAGCGGCGCGGAGTCGCGCTCCGGGCGGGCGGCAAGTGAACTCTGTGCGCCCAGGTGAGACTCATCTCCGATAGCGTCGTCTCGTGCAGAGTTACTGATGCGATTTCTTCCCCTCCCCCCCCCCCCACACACACGCACGCACGCACGCACGCACGCACGCACGCACGCACGCACGCACGCAATCAAGCAATGCTTTCCTCCGACATTGCTGAATCAACAGCTTTTTGGCCAGTCACCTAACCGGTAACTGTTTCACATCAGTCAATGCTATTTTGGACTGATTTAGCTAAGCTACATGTCAAATTTTCTTCAGCAGAACTATACTCTCCATCTCTATCCTGGCTGGCATTCGGCTATCTCTGTCACGGCTGCCAACATACATTCAGGTTTGGGTTTTACGTCGCCCTTACGTTGTTGTCAGCCGCGGATAAGGATAGGAGCCCGTTACTTAAGTTTATTTGTTGGCTGCTAGATGTCAGATCCGCCCGCGGGTTACAGCTGGGAAGACGCGCTGGCTCACACCACCGGTACCGAAAATTGTCACACCGTGGGCTGTGGAATAAAACGCACATCTGATGCTCATTTAGCTGTTATTTTAGCTGAACATTTTTTCGTCGATGATGACTGGCTATCTGTACGTGGATGATGTCCTGGTCTCTCTCTCTCTCTCGATTTGATCTGACCTAGTATTGCTAAGCGCTTACTGTGCATTGGTGCGATCGCTGAGAGAGTATGTTGTAGTGATGATGCTGGCCGATTTGTGGGCCCTCTTGGGATGCCCTAGTGCTGGTGCAGAACAATGCGTGAGACCGATGAGTGGGTAAGATGAGGCCGCTGGTGCACAGTGCCGGCAGGTGTGCACTACTGATTTGTGGGACAGCGGAGTGGTTATGACCTAGTGCTGTTGTCGACTGATCTGTGCGGCCGCCGAGCGGGCGCGACCTAGTGCAGACGCTGACCGTCAGCTGTGGCGCCGGCAGACGCTGGACTACATCATCTGGACGGGCGACCTGCCTCCGCACGACGTCTGGAACCAGACCCGTGAGGAGAACCTGAGCATCATCCGCCAAAGCCACCAACTGCTGGTCAAGTATTTTCCGCGGACGCCCATATTCCCAGCGCTGGGCAACCACGAATCGGCGCCGGTCAACAGGTGGGGAGATGAGACAACTCAGCACAACCCCGGCCCCGTCCGCCCGTCGCTTATGCCTCGTATTGTGCGGTCGAGCGTGCGGCTTCAGAGCTGGCTCAGTCGCAGAGGCCATGCCTCGACATGCAGTCAGAATCAGCAGAGTAGCATTGCCTTGCCTGTACGTAATTTTGAAGCCAGTCTGGAAGCTGCGGGCAGGTGGCACCGCCTAGTGATCATTTGAGTGAGCGTCGAGGCTGAGGGCGGACGTTAGTTCTGGTCTGTTAGCTGCATCACAAGACACATTGCCAGCAGTGCTGCCGGGTTTTTCGGGTCCCAAGGGATGAACGTGATGTGTGCCACCAGATGTGCCAGGAGTCTGAGGGGGAGATACCCCAATTTCATGATGTGTTGTGTTAACGTTAAAGTTGCCCTGTATTGTATTATACCGCGTCAAAGAAGTCATGTCCCAGGACTGGTAGGTCACCAATGAACCATGTGGGTCGTCCAGCCGGAGGCCACGCGGCCGAAGATAGGCCCTGTGTATGCGGCCGACAGTTGCCGTGTTACGGAGCCCTCTGAGCGTTGCGTGACGTACGCGCGGCAGCTTCCCTCCTCCCGAGATCGGCGGCCGCCACTCCGTCTCCTGGCTGTACGACGAGCTGGACCGGGAGTGGCGCCGCTGGCTGCCGCACCAGACGTCGGCCACCGTACGGCGCGGCGCGTTCTATTCGGTGCTCGTCAAGCCCGGCTTCCGCATCGTCTCACTCAACATGAACTACTGCAACAACAAAAACTGGTACGATATGATCGGCCCGTCGCCCGACCCCGGCCTTCCGAAGCTTGCTCTCGTAAAATTATCGGCGGTTTGCTAGAGCTTGAGCTGCCAGCACACCTGACAGTGAACAGAGTCAGCAGCGAAGAACGGGTACGGCGCCAAGTAATGGGACCAGCAGTCAGAGTGGCGTCGGTAAAAGAGAAGTGGAAGTAAAACAGGCTGCTTTGTATACGGGTGTTAGCGATTACGTCTAAGGCCAAAGTGCGAATAGATCGGGCCGGGTCTACGACTTTGAATCTAATAAGAGAAGATTGTGGAAGGCAGAATGTAAAAAAAATGTTACGAATGCTGTGTGGATTGAGGTGGATTTCGGTGTGGAAGCGCCAACGCGATGTGGCGCGATGCCCGTGCATCAGGAAAGCAGAAGGTGACGTCACTGCCTTGGGGTTGTTAACGAGATCACTAAAATTACCTATGGAGCTCGCCTATTTTTTCACAAATATCCAGTGACGTTGACGCGCCTTCAAAGCTCAATTACTAACTAATTTCGCCTGTCTTAAGATTTGTACGCTTTGTTCAACCTGCAAGGTAGCATCATGGATTTTTAAAAATACGTGTGGCTGGGTAAACCATTTATACCACCAAACGAGACCAGCACGATGATTTTCGTTACGAAGATCCTGGAAAATCGCTCCCGCCCAAGCACGATACGAAGTTTACCATATGTCGTCTCAACGCGTTGGTTGGCGAGGCCGTCGTCGTAAGTGAACTAAATACTTCTCAGGCCCGGGTACCCCTTTTTAGGAGATACGAAGGAGCATGGCCCGGTAGAATATACATTCCGGGCGGGTCGGTTTTGACCAATTGAATCTAAAGGATCTGATTGATCCAATTGGCGAAGCTTAATTGACCGGCTGACACTAATTGTCAAATTGACTTAACATTGAGCGTCAGTAACCCAAAAACCTTTCACTACGCACTTGTGCTAATCTTGAAAAAAAACCTTTCATGGCGTATGGTAAAACGTCTTTCCGAGCTAATCCTTCTGGAAATTATTTGACAAGTGCATTCTTATGCCTAGGCACAACGCTTTTCAAAAAGATTGGAATGTCAGGAAGCTTTATAAATTATCAAAGTAATTTGTATTTATTTGCATTAATGTCCGTATGTTACATTCGAGAGCCATCATGAATGGTGCACGTAATTGCGATAATTTTCCTTCAATTTCTTTCTGACCGACGCAGCATAGTTTTTGAAGTCACAATTAAGAAGAACAAACATCGGGAATTCGTTTGAGACACTGGCGGGAAGACCCGTCGGGGAAATGTGCGCGTGTGTGCGTGTGTGCTTGTATTCGTGCGTGCGTGCGTACGTACGTGCCCTACGTACGTATGTACGTGCGTGCATGCGTGCGTACTTGCGTGCGTACTTGCGGGTGTGCGTGCGTGCCCTCGTGCGAACTTGCGTGCGGGCGTGTATGTTTGGCCGCCGACTGATTGCCGCGCCTCTGACCGGGCCCGACCGGCAGGTGGCTGCTGCTGAACGCCACCGACCCCGCGCAGGAGCTCAGCTGGCTGGTGTACGAGCTGCAGGCGGCCGAGCTCAACCAGGAGAAGGTGCATATCCTGGGCCACATACCGCCCGGCCACACCGACTGCCTGGCCGTCTGGTCCAAAAACTACTACCGAATCGTGGACCGGTACGTGACTCGGCCGTCAGGGCTCGGCACATGGGACGCACTGGTGAACGTGCGCCTTGTGTTTGTTGAGACGAGAGCGTCATCAGGCGGCGTCATCTCGTTACCCTGATGCTTTTGATCTGGAGCTGTCGGTGCTGTAGTTCGTGCCATACGTGCTGGTCCCAGGATTGAAGTTGTGATGGAGAGTCGTCGGAGCGTCACGCGGAGTAGTGCTTGTTTCGTCGCTGCTAGACTTAGCTCGTTGCGGGTACTTTGTCCGAGCCGCCAGAAGAGACACAATTTGCGACTGTACTGATGTGCTTTCCACCCATTCTTAGTCGAGCAGTACTGAATTATTTCACCGCGCCATGGCGAGTGATTCCCGTGATGCGATTCCGCCTCCCGTTGTCACCCCGACCCTCATGCCCAGCCTCCAGCTGACGGTGACGGACGTGTCACGCTAGCGCCGTTTCTGGGACTCAACCCCGCGCGCCTGTCATGCAGCGCTCAGAGCTCGTGCAGCGCTCAGAGTTTGTGTGCGTGACCAACAGAGTTCACGGACGGCAGTCGCTGTATGACTTGACGGTCCAATTTATCAGAGCTCGTCGGCGAGTGCGTTGGCCGACGTCAGCGCCTGAACTTAACTGCGTACATAGGTACCATCTCCAGCCCGTGAGCCACTGTTCGCCGCAGCCGGTGGTAGCGGAGTGACACATCGGCACGAACCACCACAAATGCGACCGTGCCCACCAGACGATGTGACGTGCGCTAATTTGCAGATTCTCCCACACCATCGCCGCCCAATTCTTCGGACATACCCACTACGACGAATATCAGCTTTTCTACGACATAAGACAAAGCTATGTGGCCAGCAACGTGGCGTACATCGCCCCGTCGGTCACAACCTTCTTTGACTTGAACCCGGGATACCGGGTGTATGACATAGACGAGGGACACTCGAAGGTTTGTTGCCGTCTGCGCGCAGGGATGAGGTGGCGGCCGCAGAGCTGGTCCGGTGTGGCCGGGGCGGGTGGTGGCTGCTGGGCTGGGCTGGGCTGGGCTGGCTAGCTGGGCTGGCTGGCTGGCTGGCTGGCTGGCTGGCTGGCTGGCTGGCTGGCTGGCTGGCTGGCTGGCTGGCTGGCTGGCTGGCTGGCTGGCTGGTTGGTTGGTTGGTTGGTTGGTTGACTGGTTGGCTGGCTGGCTGGCTGGGCTGGCTGGCTGGCTGGCTGGCTGGCTGGCTGGCTGGCTGAGGCGGTGGACAGGTGATGGCTGGTGGTGGACTTGCCGGTGATGGCAGAGCCGCAGGCGCAGTGCTGGCGACGCTCGAGCTCTGCAGGCGTGATCTCCAGCCCCGCTCTGCACCGACCCTGTGCATGACGAGACCCGAGCCGCTCACATCCCACCCGGACGGCTGGCCTGGCGCGCGCTCTGACTGACACGGTACACGGTGAAGAAGGTGAAGGACAGCCAGGTGACCTCCCCATCCCACGTCTTGCACGTAAGACACTAACCGCCACCAGCGCGACGCTGGTGGACAGCCTGCTTGTACGCGGTGTGGGTTCTTGCCAGGTACTCGGGAACCGTAGCCGCCCAGTTCTTCGGCCACACGCACTTCGACGAGTACAGCCTGATCTACCCGGAGGTACCGGGAGACCCAGAGGGCTCGGCCAACGCCACCGGTCTCATGTACATTGGTCCCAGCATTACCACCTACTTGAACCTCAACCCTGGCTACCGTCTGTACGATGTGGAGAAGAAAGGCAACAAGGTTAGCGTGCTGCGGCTACTGGGACGAAACCCAGCCCATCAAATTGGGAAACGTCTCGTCGTTTTTCGCAACGTCTTCCGCCATGTACTCTGCCAGCGTTGCTCAAGCAATAAATAAGTTTTTAAGCTGTCGAGCACTTCGCATGATCTGCAAATGTGGCATTTTTTTTGGTTTTAGCATGCGTGCAGTTTGGACTAGAGGCTTACATGGACGGCGTAACGTAGCGACTTACTTGTGGTTGTGGTCGCATCTAGTTTAAACTATTAGCCTGTACCTTTTAGTGCGATGCTTGCTGTTTACCGAGAGTCGGAAGTCTGCCTAAATGTTGCTATTTACACGACGTATTTACTTCGTACTTTTTCGTGTATTTATCACGGTCATAAGAAGAACTTTTCAGACACGGCCAAATCCCACTCACTGTCTGACGTGTCCATAATTGCAATAAGGAGCTGGTGCGACGAGTGGTATCGTAACTATTGCCTTATATGCTGTTGTATGCTCTTGTGCGTATCCAAACGCCTGTCGGCACTAAGAGATGTCGCGCTTTGTGGCCACGAGAAACACATTTCAAGGGCCCTGGCTGGTCTCAATTTCCCGTACGGACTAGCAGGACTAGGACCGCTCAGTCTTGAGAACCGAGAACCGAACCGATTTCTGATGGCTCGAAGTTAGGATCAATTACGCTTTAAAAGCTGTATTATTTTCGTCGGTGCATGTGCATAGAGGCCAGGAAAACAGTTGTAGGAGTACATTTCCGTTCAACCGCACGCAAGGTGTGTCCAAGTAAAACCTTTTAACCAGCATAGGTCCGGAAAGAAAGCTGTTTTAACATTTTTCACCCTTAAGGTCACGCCGCACTCAACGGATGCAACACCGCATGGAACCCACAAGTACACAATCCCGTGATAAAGAAGTGCGAAAGGATGGCTCAATTGGACGTTATTTGAACGGACCGTGGTAAATGTGCCAGTGTGCAAAAGCTGACTGTGCCAGAAGTTTGATGTCGCAGTAGTGATACATAAATTGTGTGGAGAAATAGGGTAGCGTGGTATGGAGTGAACACGTGGTGGTCCCTGTGCCGCTGCCGTCCGCCGTCCTGTGACTGTGGTTGCTGCCGCCACTGACAGATGGTGGTGGACCACGAGACGTGGATCATGGACTTGGATAAGGCCAACCGGTTCGGTCACCCGCACTGGTTCCGGCTCTACTCCGCCCGCAAGGCGTTCGGCATGGCCAGCCTGGCGCCGTACGAGTGGGACCGGCTCGTCCACCGCATGGCCCTGGACGAGAGGCTCTTCCAGAAGTACTACAGGTGTGGAGTCGGCAGGGCTGGCGTGCTGAGCAGTGCTGATGAACGGGCAGTGCGCTGCCCGTTTATCAGCCAGATCTGCCAGATCGCTGCCGGGGCGATCTGGCAGACTTCAGCCCACCTCTCACCTCTGGCAGACTCCGGCTCACCTCTCACCTCTGGCAGACTTCAGCTCACGTTTCACCTCTGGCAGACTCTGGCTCACCTCTTACCGTCTGGCAGGCCCCGGCTCTCTTCTTACCTCTGGCTAGCAAGCATGATTGCATATCGATGTTATAATGCTCCTAAACTGAGTTGTTTTGTCGGGTGCGCTGTAGAAGCGTTATTGCTGCGCTTTGTGTCCGGCTGTGTCGGCTCAGCGTGTGAGGAATTTGTTCAGGCTTTGATTGCCCTCTTTTTTATACCATTGTCCCCATAAACTGGCCTTGCATGGGCGAATGCTCCATCGCTAAAAATGAATCTGCAGATTGAAATGTGAACACATTTAAAGCAAAAACCATCTTGAATAGCAATTTGTTATTTTGGTAGCTGCGGAGATGGTTCATTTGAGCCTTTGAGCGATGTGCGTCAGGTTTATTTCAGACTTCCCCGCACCTCAACATAGCTCCGCCACCCATGCGCCAGGCTTACCTCAAACTTCCTCCCACGCCTCAACATAGTTCCGCCACCCATGCGTTACTGCGGAGCCACCGCCCTTAGAGATACCGATAACGATGATGCTTCAGAAATGTGCAGTTTCACGGGACAGATGCACTGCACAGCGTGACCCAGATGGCTGTTGACTCACATCGCGCCCAATGATGACAATATATTTGTCGCACAGTTAAGACTGTGGTGATAACAAAATCCGTCGTGATCGCGTCGTTGATGGCGCGTGCCCTCCGACCCGCCCAGCCGTGGTCGCCTCAGGCGCTCACTATTGCCCCTGACGGGGATGGCCCGCGGCCGGTGGCAGCGCCGTGCTCAAGGCCAGGCGATGTTCGAGGGTAGGACGAACCCTTCCGAGCACTGCGGCACCACCTTGCGCGCCACATTTTGCCGCTGACCACGAGCTTCACGATTCGATGGTGTGGTTCAGGGCTCTCGTTGCGATCATGTTATAACCAGTTTCTGTCACTGTTGTTCTGTTAGATGCTGCACAGATAGTTTCGAATCTTGCAGCCGAGTGCGTGATGTTTTCTGTCCACAAGGAGTAGCTACTTCTTTGTGTGGCTCTATGACCTACACGAACACGGATCCACTGGCCATTGACGCCGTGTGTGTCGTGTCAGGTTTTACATGAAGGCGTCACCGGTGCGGGCACCCTGTGACGCAGACTGCAGGAAACGCCTGCTCTGCGACATCGTGTCCGGCCGCTCCAACGCCAGACAGGTAAGGCTGCTCTGGGACATCGTGTCCGGCCGCTCCAACGCCAGACAGGTAAGGCTACTCTGGGACATCGTGTGCGGTCGCTCCAACGCCGCTCGTGCCTTTAGTTGTTTGTTTAAATGCAAATTTAGGCACCTAGAATGAGCGTGACTACGTTTGTAAGTGCGCATGAACAGGAGTGCTTGGGTGTGTGAGCGGACTTCCGTTTGCGTGCGTCTGGCGGTTGATTAATGAAATTCTGCCTACGGCACATCGAACATAACTTTGATATACCATGATAAATGTGCGCGGAATGTATTACTGAATGCGATGACGCTGGTGGTGTGATGCACAGCTGCTGCTGCTGAGCGCCTAGGGCGGATGCTGGACGGTCGCACGTCTGCTTGTCCCCCCCCCCCCCTCCCGACTGGCATCGCGCCAAACACTGCATCCGCTCACTCCACGCGTCCGTTCCAGTTCACGTGCAAACGGCTGGAGAAGAAGCTGAAGGCGCAGAAGCGCTCCGGCTGGATGTCCTGGATGGGCGGCTACCTGGGCGTAACGTACGACGCGCTGATGTCGCCGGTGGAGGCCGGCTGGCGACATCTCCGCAACCTCATGGGCTAGTCATGCGGCTCAGTCGCGCAGCTTCTTCCAGACACTGTCTCGCCTCTTGAGCTCGCCTGTCTCTGATAGCTTGTTCTCGACACGTACCACCGCCTGAACGGTTATCTGGGTTTCGGCCATACGTCTGCTCCACCTTCTAATGCCTCTGAATGCCTTCTCACCATAGAAGTACTGTCGTGACGTGCATTGGTGCCTTACATTTTGCACGGTTAGTGCCAGATTGGTCAGGGAAGCGTTCCACGCATTATGAATATCGTGAATAGTCTATTTATGCCCATCATCAGCAATTGCCATCGGCGCTTAGAGAGGTCCTTATGGCCGGTCAGCAGAGCAATCTCGGGAACACGTGTTTTCTTAGTCAACTCACCTTCGATGCTCACCACCGCATTGTACCTCAGTATTTCGACCTATGACAACATGTTCATCTTGACACTTGATGTTTGTCAAAAATTTGAAACATGCAAGTTTTGACTCAGCCTCACCTTTGTACACAACCGAATTCTATTCATGTGAAACACGCGACTGTGGACTAACTTCACCTTTGTACACAACTTAATTCTATTCAGTTGGTTGCGAATTTCTTTTTTGGTTAGCGATTCTTGTTGGTAGACCCCTGCCACATGTTAAGTTTTTGTTGCATCTGTGAGATTGGATTGCTGGCTGGGTGCGCAGTAAGTTTGAATACGAAGGGCTTAATACAGGACAGTATTTTGGTGCTAAAAAATATTTTCGGACTAATACCGCTCATGCAGGAATGGCCGATTCTTTGGTTCAAAAATCCTTTTCAGATTTTGGTTTTAGAAACCTTTGTGAAAGAAAGTAGATGTATCTGGCTTTTGCGTGGTAAGAAATTTGATGTTTATGCGACACGGAGGGCTGCCGTCAATTCATGACGAACGATCGTTTCGCGTGTGTTATTCTACGATGTCGAAGCCATTTCAGCGTATATTGCCGCTCTGCTAGGGTTAGCGCGACTTACCATATTTATCATGAATGGCATGCACATTTTTTGCGACCGAAGTGGATCAGGTGCCTCAGAGTTGGCCCGGATGTTGGTCAGTCCTCCCGATCAGGTGCCTCAGAGTTGACCCGGATGCTGGTCAGTTGACCTGGATGTTGGTCAGTCCTCCCGATCAGGTGTCTCAGAGTTGGCCCGGATGCTGGTCAGTTGACCTGGATGCTGGTCAGTTGACCTGGATGTTGGTCAGTCCTCCCGCCGTGCGTTGTGTTGGCCCTCGCGTCGCAGCAAAACGTTTGAAGGGCCACTGTCCTCTGTCGGCGGTCTGTTGCCCTGTTGGCCGCCGTGGTTGCGCACGTATGCCGACTAGTCGCTGTGATGATTCCGTCAGCAGAGTGCTCTGCTGTGAGAACGAATGTGCATCCAATATATCAGCGTGATGTGTCATTGCTTGCTGTCATGAGATGTCGGTTCCCGTCGCGCTCTCATGATGATCAAACTTGGACACGCAAACTTGCGAACCTGGATATATGAACTGTGGTGAGTACCGGAGATCGCCTAGACGATCGATGTGGGTGGCTGCGATGCGGGATTATCCGAAATGTTGAAAGTGTCGTTCAACTCTGCTGTCTAGCTAGCTGCTATCGTTTTGGTTACCAGCCTCTTTGCTTGCTGCAGTCGCATTCTGTGCACCTCCTTCATATTACTTGTAATGCTGAAATGATAGCCGCATTGACATATGTCCCTTCCTGACTTTCTCGACTTCTTCCAAAGCTGCGTTGTCTTTTTCTGTTAACCCCGTCACCGTGGCGTTCTTCATACATTTCAACATCCGCGCGATTATAAAAGTATTGGTGTACCTTTTTTGGAGCTGCTTCGAATGTTGACCTGTGGTGCAGCAGTGTGTCGTTGGCTGAACTATTGACCTGTGGTGTAGCAGTGTGTCGTTGGCTGAACTGTTGACCTGTGGTGTGGCAGTGTCGTTGGCTGAGCAGTTGACCTGTGGTGTAGCAGTGTATTGTGGGCTGAACTGTTGACCTGTAGTGTAGCAGTGTGTCGTGGGCTAAACTGTTGACCTACGGTGCCACAGTGTGTCGTGGGCTGAACTGTTTACCTGTGGTGTAGCAGTGTGTCATGGGTTGAACTGTTGACCTGTGGTGCAGCAGTGTGTCGTGAGCTGAGCTGTTGACCTGTGGTGTAGCAGTATGTCGTGGGCTGAACTGCTGACCTGTAGTGTAGCAGTGTGTCGTGGGCTAAACTTTTGACCTTTGGTGTAGCAGTGTGTCGTTGGCTGAACAGTTGACCTATGGTGTAGCAGTGTGTCGTGGGCTGAACTGTTGACCTGCAGTGTAGCAGTGTGTCGTGGGCTAAACTGTTGACCTATGGTGCTGCAGTGTGTCGTTGGCTGAACTGTTTACCTGCGGTGTAGCAGTGTGTCATGGGTTGAACTGCTGACCTGTAATGTAGCAGTGTGTCGTTGGCTAAACTGTTGACCTGTGGTGTAGCAATGTGCCGTGGGCTGAACTGTTGACCTGTGGTGCGGCAGTGTGTCGTGGGCTAAACTGTTGACCTGTGGTGTAGCAGTGTGCCGTGGGCTGAACTGTTGACCTGTGGTGCGGCAGTGTGTCGTTGGCTGAACTGTTGACATGTGGTGCGGCCGTGTGCCGTGGGCTGGACTGTTGACCTGCGGTGCAGCAGTGTGCCGTGGGCTGGACTGTTGACCTGTGGTGTAGCAGTGTCATGGGCTGAACTGGTGGCCGGTGGTAGTCGGCCTGTGTCCCTGACAGGCGGCCTTGCTTACAGCGCGGGCGTGGTGGGCTCTGTCCTGCTGGGTGTGCCGCTCATCACGCTGCTGTTGTCGCTGCGATAGCCGCCACACGGCCCCCGTCAGACGCCATGCCTCTCTCGGCGGCGGACGGACCCCGCTAGTCACTGGCCGCTAGCCGAAAACTAGTCACCCATCCACCGACTCAATGTGCAGATGCAGCCAACAGTACGCACGCGTCAGCGGTACGGATGGTTTGTGGTGTAGCAGTGGTGCACGCGCCAGCGGTGCACGCGGAGACCGCTGGCAGGCCAACAGGCCCACACAGAGAACGCTGCTAGGCCAACAGACCCACACAGAGACCGCAGGCGGGCCAACAGGCCCGCACAGAGAACGCGGTGAAGCCAACATGCGCGCACAGAGAACGCGGTGAAGCCAACCGGCCAGCACAGAGGGCGCAAGCAAGCCAACAGACCCAAGTGGAGGTGGCAATCAATATTACAGAATCACGTGAAGATTCTGGGCAAAGTCGGGGTCCGGGCAAAAATTTTCGAGATGGCTGACAGCCTCGTTCATTCGTGAAAGTTGGGAACATGCGACGATGGTGCAACGTAACAGTGGCGAGCAATTAGGAGCTGGTGCATTTCTTTGTGGTACAAGATGTGACAGCCAGGGTGGAGAGCTGGGTTGAACACGGCTGTCATTGCAGCGTGTCCAGTGTTCAGCAGATGGCGCCTCGTAACGCTGCATAAGGAAGGCTTGGTGGGGTTCGGAAAAAAGCCGCTGGAGGCCGATAACGTACCAGTTGCTGGGAGGCATTGTCCCGGATGTGCTGGAGAAGTGGCCTCTCATAATGTTGTGCGTATAGGATAGCAATTATGTCCAGGGCCCATGAGATGTGAATTGCGAGCCGTGTGTATTTAAAAACCTCAATGTATGTGTGTATGTACGTTGTATGCACCCGTCATTCGGTCGTCATCATTTCACAGGCCCAAAATGCAGCCTGCCTTGTTAGGTCTAACTGCACTCATCTATGGTTTGCTGTGGCTCCACTCAGAAGCATAGTGTGTTTTAAGCATATGGAGGAAACATTGTGATCTGAGCTTTTAGAGCTATCAGAAAAGCAAAATACTGTCGTAGCTCACCCGTTCACCAGGGGCAGATCTGACAAACGCCGTGCCCACAATGCCAATGTCGGATGACCATGGGTAGCGAGCATAAGTAAGTGTAGTCGAGACCGGAGAGTGAAGTGGTTTTAAAACTTCGTCTGCATTGTGACAATTCGTCTTCGTGAACGGGATGAATGACGCTGTGTATGCCGCCCTACGAAAGGTGAGATTGCCCAGTGTATCCCACTCGATGAATCGGAGTAGGGACAATGCTCCTGCTGCGGTTTGAATGGAAATAGGTCCGCATGCTTGTGTATTAAATGACGGGTTTGATTTTTACTTATTCTCGAATCCATAAAACTGTATATAGTATTCCCCGATGTCAAATCATCTTTCGGAGTAAAAGATCCCAAAACTGGTATTACTCACTACAGAAAATGACAAAAAAAATACAAAAGCTCACTACTTTCTTCATGGAGCTGGCTAGAATTGTCGATACTGGTCTTAAGTCGTAAAGTACTACCCGTTGCCATTTATATTCTGGATTGAAATGCGTGCAATGCATTCCGGCATTGCAACCATGTCACTGTATCCGGAAGCAGCGGCATGGTACTGGCAGAGCACGATTCGTATGTCAACCTGCAGTAAGAATGCCATCCTAGCATGTAGCGTCACTAGAATGTTTGATGGTGGCTGGAGAGCAAGAAACTGTGTGAGATGTTGCATAAATAAACTGCGATTGCAACATATATTTTTGGATGAACTGAGTGTCTACAAATAGACAGAGAACGTCCAAAGAAGCAGTGGGACATGTTAGAGCGTTCCTAATCATGGTAAGCGTAGGGCAACATCGGACAGGTTACCTTTCGTACTACATCTTTGGGCCTCATCGAACGCCTCCCTTGGTTGGCTCGGGCCCTCGCGAGCACAGGGCCCTCTGTTAGGCGCCGTGGGCCCGACCAGTATAAATCACTGGCCCCAGCTTTATTGCTAATTGGGAGAAGGTCCTCAGGCCCATACCGACACGGAATGGGTATGTGGTATGTGGTACGGTGCTACCTGACCATCATATAGGCCCATATCGCCTCAGGGGGTCCCCGATAGGCGTAAAGGGCCCTCTGGCCGTTGTTTGAGGGCCCGTCTTCGCAGGTCGGGGCCGCTGAATGAGACTCCGACCAGCCCTTTATGCTCTTAAATCCTCCAATTGGGGCCTTGATGGTCGGACCCGGTGGGCCCTCAAGGCTCTTTGGGCCTCCTCGAACACTGTCTCTGACCGACTCGGTGCCCCTTGACAACACAGGGTCCCTCGCTGTGGGTGTTCAAGCAATGTAAATCGCAGGCTCGGGCCTTGTCCCTGCTTGGGAAATGGGCCCTCAGGCCCATGCCACCATGGAGCCGATTGCGCGTTACTGGCGGTGTCTGGCCAGAATATAAGCCGTTATCGACTCAGTGGGCCCCTAATCGGCGCGCGGGACCCTTTGGCTGGCATTGGGGTGCCCGGCCCTGTGGGCCGAGACCTCCGGCTGGCCTTTTGAGCCCTTTTGGCCTTTAAATCGGGCCCTTAATTGTTAAGTTCAGAAGGGCTCTTCGGGCCCCTCGAAACCTAAGGGGGAGAGAGGGGCACGCGCCCCACGTGCCCCTTGCTGCCTGCGCTACTGGTGGTCAGCACTGTGCTGGAGGTGAATCGGAGTGTTCAGTGAAATCAACGCGGGGTCACTGCAGTGGGTGGGCTGTGAGCCCGAGATGCGGTGGGGGCGAGGTATCGCGTGGCTGTTCGCTCACGATCAGTTTCGATGTGAAATATATGTCGACACGTAGAGGGTGTTCCACATTCGTATGGGTTTTGAACTGAAATAGCCATATTGAAGATCATTCTGTGTATTTCATAGCCCTGCTATTCTTCAGACCTAAACTGTAATGTTCCCTCCGCTAACATCGGTTCATTACTTCAAAAATGAAATAAAACAGTTATTTGCAATGATCTCAACACCAGAAGTTCGGGTTCACAGCTCCCAGCCGCGCCACACCACCAACCGTGCCGCGTGATTGCCGCCGCCAACACCCCGACTCAGCAGTGGTGGCGTAACCAAACACAGGTTCTCTGAATTTCCGCCAGGCGGTCGAGCAACATCTACGAGAACAAGCTTCTAAACTCATGATTACTACATGCCTCCCCGCAAATACGTGCCTCTCTGGAGCACGCACGCCCCGTCCTGAACAACCGAGAGCAGGGCCATGCGTATTGCCGGCACCGTCGCGCACCTGGTCCAGCTCACTGCCAGCGCCTCCCGGTATTACCAGCTCCGTCCCCGCGGTCGCCCCTGCAGCCGACCGCCCCTCAGCCACTGGAGTAGCTGTCTGCTGTCTCCATCCAGCAGGGCGTCGTGCGAGGGTAGCCCGGCGCTCCTCGTGCGGTCAGAGTACTTCCGCTGATACTCCTGCCGGCTCCGCCCGCGCCTTCGCACTACTTGCCGCATCTTCGTTTCGCTGTGAGGCGACTCAGCGGCTGCCGCGTGTAGCTTGGTCCTCAGCCGTCTGCCGTGCAAGGGCTGCCTCCGGTGGCGTGCGGCGTGCTTCGGTACTGCTGTAGGGACTTCTGCAAGTACCGGATGCAGTCCTTGCCACTCTGGTCCACCGCCTGCAGTGCTGACTTCCCGGCGCGGTTGGCCCGCTCCACCGCGCCCGACCCCGCCGGGTGGTTTGGAGTCACGCGGATCTGACGAGTCCCCTTATTCCACAGGTACTCGGTGAAGGCTCCGGACGTGAAGCGCGTCCCGTTGTGGGAGACCAACTTTCTCGGGTAGCCTCCTCGCGAAGTAATCACCTTCAGGAACTGGATAGTGGCTTCTGAGCTCGGTTCTGCGCAACACTCTACCTCGATCCACTTGGAGCAGTAGTCTTCTAGGACTACCGCGAACCGCTGGTTCCTGGGTGCCTCCATAGGGTCGCTGTAGTCCACCCCGGCTGTGTTCCATGCCGCTTGTGGCAAAGAAATGCCTACGAGGTCGCGTGGGCACTGTACCCTGGAGTCTGGGTGAAGGCCAAGCGGACGGTAGGCCGACTTCATGTCCAGGCTTGAGAACATGGTCGCCCCCTGAAGCTGCTCCAGGATGTCCTGCAGGTCTGGTAGGGATGGCCGCTCGCCTCTACCGCCTTGTTGGCCTCACGGAGATCCACACCGAGGCGCAGGTTGCCGTTGCGTCTTCGGGACACCACGATGGTTGAGGTCCAGGAGGCTCAATGATGCCAGCCTGCCAAAGTTCCTCCAGGTGAGCTCGTACCTCCTCCCCAGAGCAAACGGAAGAGGTCGAAATCACTCCTGCACTGGTGGGACTCCTGACTTCAGTCGCTGGCTTCAGTCCGGACTTCAGTCTTATTCTGGTTTCTAAGCTTTACGCCCGTGAAGACGTGCGGAGTATTTCGGGGAGACTATCTCAAGGCCATCGAGGCATTCATGGCGTCATAATAACATCATTCACATCTTGCTGTTCCGTTGGCCATGTGACGGTTAAGGTAAAGACAAATATAATTGTCGAGTTGTTCCTATCTGGCGTACACGGGCATGATTTCCAGATATAACTGATTTTTCGGAAACTGTTCCAGAAAAAAATTGGCTTTTCCAGTTAGAAACACCTGGTCAAGTTGACCCAGTGCACCCGCGCGCACGAGTCCTGCTTATGTCTGCCATATTCCATTTGCATCGTTCGTGAGAAGGATGCATAGGAGCCTGAGAACTGTTGATTTCGGCTTATGGAGCTTGAGCCACGTACGGCTTGATGATCTGCTGACGATTGACGCTACATCACCTCTGTCCTCTTTTTCTCATCCATCTGTACATGCTGCGTACAACGCCCTGTTTCGCGCGGAGCATGGTGCCATCGAACCAGGCTATGGAGTGGCCTCATGGCTGTCCTGGTTAGGACTCATGCTCGGGCGCTCTCCCACATCCCGATGTGGATCCGTGCGCAATACACGCCTCATTGACGGTGTGAACCCAGGCCATCGGCAGAGCTGCCTTCACCTCAGCTTGTGGCCTGTATATGCCTGAAAGGCGCAGTCACAGCAGCCTACACCTCAGCTCGTGGCTTGTATATGCCTGAGAGGCGCAGCCACAGGGAGGCCTACCTCTCAGCTCGTGGCCTGTATATGCCTGACAGGCGCAGCCACAGAGCACTTTTCCTCTCAGCTCGTGACCTGTATATACCTGAGAGGCGCAGTCTCAGCAGCCTACACCTCAGCTCGTGGCTTGTATATGCCTGAGAAGCGTAGTCACAGAGCAGTCTTCCTCTCAGTTCGTGGCTTGTATATGCCTGAGAGGCGCAGTCACAGCAGCCTACACCTCAGCTCGTGACTTGTATATGCCTGAGAGGCGTAGTCACAGAGCAGTCTTCCTCTCAGCTCGTGGCTTGTATATGCCTGAGAGGCGCAGTCACAGCAGCCTACACCACAGCTCGTGGCTTGTATATGCCTGAGAGGCGTAGTCACAGAGCAGTCTTCCTCTCAGCTCGTGGCTTGTATATGCCTGAGAGGCGCAGTCACAGCAGCCCACACCTCAACTCGTGGCTTGTATATGCCTGAGAGGCGTAGTCACAGAGCAGTCTTCCTCTCAGCTCTTGGCCTGTATATGCCTGAGAGGCGCAGTCACAGAAGCCTACCTCTCAGCTTTTGGCCTGTATATGCCTGGGAGGCGCAGACACGGAGCAGTCTTCCTCTCAGGTCGTGGCCTGTATGTGCCTGAGAGGCGCAGCCACAGAGCAGTCTTCCTCTCAGGTCGTGGACTGTATATGCCTGAGAGGCGCAGTCATGCAGCCCTGTTTGCTGCCACCAGTATCTGCCGAGAATGCTTCTTATTTTTAGGAGTTTTGTATTACTTTGAAAAACCAATCGGGTATCGAAAAGTAATCTCTGACTTTGATAAAAGTTCCCAGGCGTGACTATCATTGCAGCGTTCTTCAGCCGTCGCACCGACTTACCACGAGTGCAGTCTAAGCCCAGAAACCTCGAAATCGTCATCGCTCGCCCGAAGCGCTTATACTCTGTTGAGTCAAGGGCCTGCCCAAGATACCCAGAGTGGGGATGATGCTGAGGAGGGGATGGCAGCAACTGGCCTATGTCCACATCGCCGAAACGTCGCATTTGTCACCTTTTGGAGGTGATTAGCCTTCTTGAGCCGTCAGGGCGAACTTCTAATGGAGCTGTGCTCCCGATGAAGTGCAGATTGCGACCTCCTTCCCTCTCTCCTGTAAGAGGCACGTATATTGTTAGTTTTTGACCAGTACCGTGGCAGAACCAGTGATGTGGCAGTCTAGCAACCAAGGGGACGTATTGGCGAAATGGTGTCCAGCTAGCGTTTGTAAAGTAGCAGAAAAGGTTCAGCAGTCATGCAACACCATCCTGTTTTTAGTTTGCCTCTGTGCTGGAATCATTACACAAAAGTTTGGCCTTCACGTGGGTTCTATGACAGGTGGGAAGGCGTTGGCGGCACTTCCAGCTATGGCAGTGCTTTACTCCATGGGGTTATAACTGGATTTAAAAACACAAACAGCGGTACTAAAAGACCAGGGCACAGAACATCAGCACTGAAGTGGCGTGGACTTTGCTTGGTTAGCATTTTCTTTATACAATAACGACCTATTGTTTATTAGGACAACATACTGTTACAATGCCATTTTGGGAGGCCCAGTCTCCTTAAGTCAACTGGTATCCTTCGGGTAGCACGTAAGTTGGCCGGAGCAGATCCGAAATACACCATTCGTTTAATGAATATATAACCAGAGTGGCCCACCAAAAATTCATCCATACATCCAGATAAGTTGTGGCGCCTTCTGATTCACGGGGAATGTTTCCTTTTTCAACTGGTTCCTCCGTTAGCTACACTATTTTTGCACAGCTTTGGCCTCAACACCGGGCCCGTGGGGGTCCGTGATCACACTGTAGTAGCATAAGCATTAGCCTCAACACCGGGCCCGTGGGGGTCCGTGATCACACTGTAGTAGCATAGGCATTAGCCTCAACACCGGGCCCGTGGGGGTCCGTGATCACACTGTAGTAGCATAGGCATTAGCCTCAACACCGGACCCGTGGGGGTCCGTGATCACACTGTAGTATGCATAGTCATTAGCCTCAACACGGGCCCCGTGTGGGTTGCCGTGATCACACTATTGCATAGCATAGCTTTCAACCCGGACCCGTGGGGGTCCGTGAAGCACACTGTAAGTAGCAATAATGGCATTAGCTTCACAAACACCGGGGACCCCGTGGGGGGTCCGTGATCACACTGTAGTAGCATAGGCATTGCGGCAATAAAACGTAGGGCATATTGCTATGATACAGAGAGTCGGAGCGAAAGCTGTTAAAATGGCAGAATGCAACTATTTACATCTGTAGAACCACAAAGCTGCTTCATGACTGGCGTTTGTCGTCAGGTTCTATCTAAACCTCTTTTTAAATTCAGATGGTGTTCCGCCGACAGCATTCCGCCCCAGGTCAAGTCTCCCGGAGAAAGACTGGGCATAGGGTACCCATGATTTTGCTTGGGAAATTAACTGCAGCATAAACAACTCGTCAGTGACGTTATAAATTCCTTTTCTGGCGTCTGAGCTGTTGTTGGAAATTCACTGCACTTGCGTCAGATAGCCCTTATTGCTCTGCATCTCGCCACGCAAGGATCTTGTCTTATTGGTACGCACATTAAAGCACCCTATTTCTGACAGGGCTGCTGCTGGCATGAGTTCACAACTTCGCTATTTCTTTAGTGATTCTGGCTTGCGTTACAAGAGCACCGTGTATACATTACATTGGTTATTGTATCGGAATCAATTTCCAGTGGGTTATCCGTTATTTCCCCTGTTCGCTCTCTGTTCGTCTAGTTACCGAATAGGGGCATGGAAAAGTTTAATCTTCAAAGATAATTTTTGACTCGCCGTAAGCCCAGAACTTTCTCCCAAAGGATACGCCGGAGACTGCTGCGTCTGAACAAACCACGACACGTGAGTTTTCTAGTTGGAGGCCAGTTGATAATGTCCGTCAAGCTAGCATTGTATTCGTACTCGAATTCATTGCCGAGAACAGATTTCCAACAGCAGTCTTCCCAGGTTGGACCCGTTCAATTTTTCACGAATCCGCAATTATCTTCTCTCCAAGTCACTTAGTGTCACCTGTACAGGTCAATGCAACATCGGAATTTGAGTACTCTGGCATTTTTTCGTTTGTTGAAGAAATCCAGTAGCACTGGTATCATGTTGACCGCTGTGATGTCCACTTAAGTCACACATGAACAACTCAGTCGATGTCAAACATCGAGGTCACTTAACATTGGATACTCTGATATCTCTTAGCTCATGAAGACAGTGCAACAAAAAGAGCGTTATGTTGTTCGCGAAGTTCTCTTTCGTCTCATTCATAAATAAAAATAGCTCTAAAGGTGAGAGGTCAAGGTCACACAAGGCGCGGTATACTAGCATTTTTCTAAAGAAATACGATAACAGATGTATCAAAGACATGCTCGTTATGTTCGCTTCCATCGCATCTGCAAAAAATGGCCCTTAAGTTCAAAGGTCAAGGCCGCACAAATGCGGTGCCGTAACATTTGTTCCTTGCCCAAATAAACGAAACAAAATGGATATCATAGCAATGTTCGTGCCGTCTACTTTTCTCACACCAATAAAAATACTGTGAAAACGTGATGTCCACTTCCTTAACATCTAGAAAAAGTGTATTTCACTGTGAAATGTTAAGATAAGGAAAACACGGAACCCTGACATTCATTTGCGTGCGAAAAAAAACATGCAGGGAAAGAAACATTTTTCAATGTTTGTGGCTATATTAATATGACTTAATTAGTAAAGGATCGAATGCCATGGTGCCGCGTTTTGCGTGATCTTACCCTTTGACCTTGACTTTTGTCTTGCTGTAAAAGTTAATACCACAATTATCAATGTGATGCTTATTTCGTCTCATTTCTTTAGTTGAAGAACAAATATTAGATGTCACGTTTCATGTTAACTTGTTTTTTATTTCCAGTTTGTTTTTGCACGTGTGGCGAAAGCGAACATCAAGAGCATCGCGATGATACCTCTTTTGTCGTATTTATTTCGTAAAGAAATAATTGTTATTGTACCGCGGTTGTGTGACCTTGATCTTTGACCTGAAAAGTTAGTTCTAGCGGATGAGACTGGACAGAACGTCACAAGCACCAATATGACAACCTGTTTTTGTACTTCCTTCATGAACGAAGGAATGTAAGAGTATCCATTTTTGTGACCTTGGTCCTTATTATTGAGGGTATCAATATGATACCTTTTTTACTGATTTCCTCCACAAACAAAGGAATGCCAGGGTACTCAAGTTTCAACCTCCTGTTGGCATGAAGAGGTCAGCGTAAATGAAGTAGAGAAAATAGACAGGGATTTGAGAATAACCGAATGGGTTTGATGTGGGGAAACTGCTTTTGGAAATCTGAACTCGGCACTGAATCCGAATACAAATACAACGCCAACTAGACGGACATCAGTCGTGACCCGTACACAGTTGTATTTATCTAATAAAGGAATCGAGACTTGTGAGATCGAATGTATGCCGATGTTTTTTGACATGCAGTGCGACATTTCGTGTCCCTCACTGTCTAGATTATCCTTTGCTGTTTGAAAGATTTTTTGTCACCCTCGTCCTACAAGAGGATACCCTCAAAGGTCTCTAAGATCTCAACAAGTAAGCAAGCTAGAGCCACTCATGAGACGGTAATGGCAAGATCTCGTCATACTTCATCAGGTACGTGTACCTAAACAATGATGAATGAGCCCCCTGCCTCTGGCAGATCAAATGTAGTCAAATGGGTTAAATTAGCACTTCAGAGGCCCCTTCTGTAATCTTGAAAACTAAATAGACTGCGACAGCGCTGAAGATGACACCGCATAGTTCCTTAGAAACTCTGTCAGATATACACCAGTGAACCCTAACGCATGTGACATGCAAGGTCATGCCAGGCCAAATGGGCGAACGTCACTTTTGCATTGGCCTAGCCGGCTATACGAAGAACTCAATAAGCCACATGATAGGTAAAAAGGGCCTCCAAATCTTTCAGATATCTGCCAACAGGGCTTGAAGTAGATGACCTTGGAGAGGTCTAACTAGCCCCCCCCCCCCCCCCGTTGTCTTCGTTAGCCATCTGCTTGCTGATGCAACGTCTGTAGCAGGCGACTCCTTCTCCTCACTTGCAGTGGTCTGTACGCGAAAAGCCCGCCGCTGCACCTGCAGAGTGTGCTGCTTTCTGTGGTGCAGCTGCAGCTCATTGCAACCAGCAGCGTTTTGTAAGTAACTGGCGCTGCTGAGTCCGCCGATCGGCTGCTTTCCTCAGTGTCGCCTGGTGGTGATCCCGGAGCACGTACAGCCGGGGGCTTGCGTCACCCGGCTCCTTTAATGGCAGAGGCTTCTTAGTGACGAGAAATGCACGAGCACGCTCATCGTTCAATATTGTACAGCTCTTCTGCTCACTGATGGCTAAAAGGAAAGTGTCTGCTGCTGCTCTGAGCTGAGCGTGGATGGCACCAGGCTGTCCGAGTACTTGACTGGCATGTCCATCCGTAATAGCTTGAGCGCAGATTGTGGTCCTTCCCTGAAGGATACGAGGCTGTATCGCAACCCGACGAGTAGACGCCGGTAGGATGTCTGTTCTCCCTGGGACCTGGCCTCTCAGCGGTTTCGTCGGCGTCTAGGACATCGTCATCCCACTTTTTAATTGAATCTGGTCGACGACCAGCATTGGGAGGAACACATCGGTATCATCAGTGAGAATGTGGATGTCCTGGGGATGGTCCACCACCGCCTTCAACATGTGGCTGGAGAGGGTGATGTCCGTCTAAATATGTGAGACGACGCAGTCTGTATGCTGAAGAGTTGGGAGCTGTATATAAGAGTAGTTGTGGGGGATGTTGGGCAATCGTGGGGCATGAAACGTAAAAACGACCTTGGACGTTTCAAGTAGCGGCTGACCTGACTGACTGTGGAATGTTTTGCATGGCTGCCCCATGTCTGATGTTCAACTGAATGATTGATATTGGTCATCAAGCTCTCCGGCCATTAACTCCTCATGCTTCGACCGAATGATTCCCAGCCGCTTCAAGTGTGCGCTTCGGTGCTCCACAACTAGAGTGTATGCTCACTGGTCACTCAAGCTGATAAGACAGACTACCAGTGACGTCGTCAGCACGGGTGGACTACCAATCACCAACTACCAGGAGTTGGTTCGGCGCACGTAACATTCCGTCGCCTCCCCCCCCCCCGCGCGCCCCGCCACCACCTGAGGTGCGTAACCGCCGCACCATCTTGCTCCGAAGCTCTCGTCTTGTTGCCGACACGCCCGTGCAACCCACGCGACCCTCACAGACGGCAACGGTGCGGCCGGAGCCCGCCGAGTCCACTCGAGCTCGCGGAGCCCACAGAACGGCCGGAGCCCGCGGAGCCCACAGAACGGCCGGAGCCCGCGGAGTCCACAGAGCGGCCGGAGCCCGCCGACTCTACTGGGCGGCTCGAGCCCGCGGAGCCCACAGAACGGCCGGAGCCCGCGGAGCCCACAGGACGGCCGGGGCCCGCCGAGTGCACAGAGCGGCTCGAGCCCGCGCAGCCCACAGAACGGCCGGAGCCCGCTGAGTCCACAGAGCGGCTCGAGCTCGCGGAGCCCACAGAACGGCCGGAGCCCGCAGAGCGACCCGAGCCCGTTTGAGCCGCATTGCCAAGTCACCCGTACAACTTACTTCGAGATTACCCGGTTAAACGCTGCAGATCAAGAACTGATGAGTTCTGATGAGCTTTCTTATTTTTTTTTCCTGAGCGTGATTGGATGTGAACCTGGCACGGTGGTTGGTCTCCACCAGCGCCCTGCTCCGCGGTGGCAAAACAGTTAGAGATGATGGGAGCCTAGTATCCACACAACCATGACCAATTCAAAGCCTGTTCTGAGGTTTCATTATTGACGCAGTTTTTGATGCGCACGGAACAAGGCGTGCGCGCGGCCCACCACAATAATCTTTGTGGTGCGCCACTTCTATAAAACAAGACAATTGGCGGCGTTACTGTTGCCATACAGTGCAGTTTTAGCTCATCCAAATGTTTTACATTTGGATGAACTTGGATCGAACTTTTTGCCGAAAGAAATGGTGACACGCCCTGGTGTGCATGCTACCAAGACCCAGGGCAACATAAAATATGACCGACACAATGCTTTGTTTCGCATGGGGCGAGCAGGGCGATGGCAGAGACGGCGTCTGTCACGACAGATGACACACTACTCCGTAGGCAGACGGCTGTCGCACCCCTGCCGATCTACCGGACCGGTGGAGCGTGCTCCTCAGGAGACCATCACACAAAACAGTTCAGTTGGCGCACGACCATCTCGGCATGCAACGTCGCCCAGAGCGATGATTCAACGCAGATGCCGACGAGGATACAGTGTAGGCACCATTATCAATTATGGCTTGGAAAATATCAACACCGCCTACGTCTTTGGAATAACGCCCACCACCAGTCTACTTACAAAAAAGGGGCCCCCGCTGTGTAGACGTCCAGCTCGTCGAAGTTCGCGCTACAATGTATTACTGATCGAGCATCATCGGCATGGTAATGTACAATGTACACAAATGTACACCTTATCATGGCAACAAAGCAGTGAACAATGCCTGTGAAGGTTACCGGCGGCACGCGTGTACTGAACGCGTGACTACGTCCACAGGGAGTCAGTGACGTCACGGGAGCATGACCTCGGACACAATCCCAAAGGCAGGCGTTTGAATGATGGGGAGACGAGCTGGGAGGGGAAAACAAGGGTGGGTACTGAGGAGGTTAATTGGTTATGTATTTTGCCAGGCCTGATAACGAGGTGTGTGCCCAGCAGCCACATGGCTGGGGTGGATGGGGGAGGGGGCAAAATATTTGCGCAATCTCGAGCCCGTTTACATGCGAGAGGCGCTTTGGGCTGTTCTGCGCCCCTCTGTACACTAGTTTGGCTCAACAGATGGTCAAATCCGTCGTCCTCGGACGCACCATGTACTAAACGCTACTTGCAATAATGCCTCAGTCGATATGGTTTAAACATGGACAGGACATATCGGCCGCTTTTTCAGCACGACCATTATCAGTTGGAACACCATGGTGAAAATGCATACACTTCAAGAAGACTTCACATTGACATCATTAATGATTACCGTTTCCAGGCGCGCTGTCCATGTCATTTAAAACTGCACTGGCAAAGTCATGTGAATGATCTTACGCTAAGAACAGCCGAACTTCAGCAGTGGCTTATGAGTTTTGGCTATTCGGACCATGGGGTAGGTCGTTGGCGCAATGGAGGGCAAGATCATGCAGGCGCTAAAAGGAGCGTACCTCAGGGTAAAGTGTCACAAGTGTCCAACCTCTGCCACCCTGGGTCTGTTCACGAGGCCGGTGAACCGTTCTGCGGCTGACAGGAAACAGAGAAGCAACTCCATTCAAAAGCGCACGAATAAAAACAAACACCTCAAATGCATTAGCGACATAGCCGAATGACGACAGGCATGCAATCAAATTCAACGATCATTTGGTAATAAAGCATTGTTCGTCACTTATGGACGGGCTGTACAGGATAAAAATTTATCACACCCACGCAAGGTCAATGTGCAGTCTAAGCCTAAAAAGAGCCATAGAAGGCACGGAGATGTACAGAGAGCCGGTGCTGACAGGACCGGCAGCACGACATTGCGGCAGGCCGTGACTTCACACGGCGTATGTACACGGGAAGCCGAGCGAGCGTCTTCACGCAGAGATGTTCACGCGACGACCCGAGGCCCACTGGTGACCAACTGACCAGTGGGGCAGGCAAGCGCCGGGCGTCTAAAGAGACCCAACCACCGGCGCGGGCCGTCCGCACGGTCAGAGGGCGAGCCGTCGCGGCGGCTACAGAAGCGGCTCCGGCGGCGGCGCCAATGCTCAATACTCACTGTGCCTTGGCACGCCGTCCCGGTGCGGCTCGGTGGCGCCTAACGTAAGGCCAGAGGTCTTGCGGGCGAGGCTGTCGCCCTATGACATCATGGCACGAGTCGGTCTTGGAGGCGGCCGCGGCCCTGGAGCGGCAGACACGCGACCGTCCCTGGGACGCCGCCGGTGCGGCACGTCACTCGATGAGGCACGGCTTACGTGCACGGGTGCAGCGATTTCACCCGACTCAGCCCAGCCAGACTCCGACTCCCTGCTGATCGCCCACGCCCGTCGAATCAGTATTGCTGGGATGTAAGTCGTGTCACGCGCCGTTACGGAAGCTCTGGCTCAGCATAAGGCACTGCTGGCATGCTGTGGCCGGCGACAGTTTGCCCAGCGCCGACCCAGATCTCCTTCGGGCCTCTGCGCGACGGTCCATGCCGCCGTCCTGTGGCCGTGTGGCCGCTACTGGGCCGGGCCGGGGACACCTTCCGCTGCCGGCGGTGGCGGTGGCGGCGGTGGTCCTCCGGCACCTCGGTCCGGGTCAGACGGCGACCGCCGGACATTAAGGTACTTTTCCAACTTGCTCAAAATGTGCTTTCCTGGGGACAAGCGCATGTACAGTGAGCTCAGCACGGATATTGACAGGACAATCAGAACACGTAACCCCGTCCCGCGCGCTGACTCCAAGCTTTTTAAAACTTTTTAAAACTTTTAAAACTTTCTTTACTTTTTAACTTTTTAATGGATCTGCTGAGCAGTTTAGGAAACGGCTTAAAGGATTCTCATTAAGTAAAGCACGAGCATGCAAAGTTAATTATTTAATGAGATGCGTACCTGATTCAACCCCACACCAGTCACGTAGGTTGTTGCGTCTCTCATGCTATCACGTTTGTTTACGCCAGACGTGACATGGGTGGTTATTTGGATGATAAGAAAATGACCACGGCTGTGCAAGAACATCGAACAGGTTCAAAATTATGTTCTCGTAATACTCGGCCAGGATCCACTAGAACACTTTGCAGTTAGCTTTCCGAAGCCCGGTCCAAAAAATCTGGCAAATTTCGGTTGTGTGGATCTAATAATTGTAAAGCATCTGATAAACATCTGATAGCCACGAACGACCTTGCACAAAACAAATGAACCTTCAGACAAAACGTTTCGTTACATTGATGTCTCCTGTGGATTCAAGGTCTGGAGCTGCCGCCTGCTTGGAGCTGCCGCCTGCAGTGTTTGGTAGGGGCCAATAATATACGTACCCCATAACATGCAATGACAATGTTGCAATGGCAACTGGACCTAGACGGCAGAATGACACCTAGCAGCTCTCACAATGGCACTCACCGAACGTGTAGCGTCTGAGGTTGCCCAGGTGAGGGCGCAGCTTCTGCAAGAGCACGGCGCGCTGGATGGGATCAGCCACGTCCAGCATCTTCTGGATGACGTAGTTGCCGAACTGGTCCTTCAGCAGCGACAGCATGTTACTGCAAGCGGACACAGATCAGTGTTAGAGCTGGTTGCTAGAGCGCAGACGACGGCCGTCGTGAGCGGGGCACCCCCAAGTCCTCCACTGCTGCTGGCACGGCCGGCTGAAAGGCGTCCGACCCGGTCACCAATCTCCGCCCATCCAGACGCATCTGTGCGCCAGATCGTCGCTTGCGGAGGCTCTGCTTCAGCTTCGGATCCAAACAGGGCCTCTTCTAAAGAAGGCTGACTGAAGGGAGGAGGCTAGCTTGTCGCATGAGATCATAAAATACCTAAAAATGGATTGTTTCCATTTTTGGCTGACGACAGGTCGTTGCTTGCATCTTATTACACTTTTTTGGCAAACGGACAAACAGCTCGGCTAAATATACACAAAACGTGTGCATGTGGCAATATTTGCGAACCTCCATAGAGGGGCCTTGCAAGAGGGGTCATTGCCCCAGGTGTTGTCTGGCGGAGGTCTAATGGATGTCTAGCGGAGATCTAGCGGTGATGGAGTGAAGGAATCTCGTAGTCCCCACCCAGGCAAAAAAAAGGTTTACTTCTGTAGAGGCGGATCGTATCTTCGCATTGGTGGCAACCCATGCTTGAGCAGCTTTACAACGGCGTGGGTCCCTCTAGCGGCAACGGGTCCCAAAAACAAAATAAATTACACGCGAGGAATATCTTAAACGAAACCTTTGGAGCAATTTCTGTGTTTGTTTCGTGTGTGTGTAACAAAGATCGCAACAGACATGTCCCATGGACTTCTTTAAGATTAGAGTTAAGTCACTGACCCGAAATGACACAGGTCAAAAGTTTATTGTTTAGGAACACACAATCTAGTGTAATCCTTGACACTTATTCAAATGCCAAAGTAGAAGCAATCTCGCGGGACTTTGGTCACCATGATCTTCCGAAGGCCAAAGAGGCCACTGACCTTAAATGAAACCGGCGACCTTTTGCTGAGAACAGGTATCTGGGTTCAAGGCAGTTGCGTAAGGAGGTATAGTGGCCCCAGTCTGGAGCCTGACCTTGTTTGACCTTATCTGATCCAAATTCCATGACCTAGGGAATACTTCACTTGAACACAAGTAAGTGCACATACAGACCAACCCATTCCCTGAATTTGGTTGGTGTCTGGCTTTTTTAATGTTTCGGGTCTCAGGGGGAGGGGGGGGGGGGGGCAAAAAGACTCCTCACGCAGGCAGAGGGTATTCAACCAGTCACCCGGGAGCGTGCTAACTGAATCAAATACACCAGAATCTACAGTAACTGCCGAAGGCGACACCGACTGCCCACTTCGAATGAACCTCTTGCCCCATTTATTTTCCAACGGCTTGTTCGGCTGAAAAAAAAACAGAGGCTGTCATATACAATGGAAAAAATCGCTGTGATTGTTCTCTTTGATTATTATAGTGGTAAAGATTAAAACGCTCAACCTGTCAGGGGTGTTCCTAGATTTTGTCCCTGTTTTTTTTTTACAGGTATCTCCGTGCTAATGCGCACATCTCTGAACGGCTGTGGTCCTTTAGTCGTTGGAACCACCTCCATGGTGGGGATCCCGTACATGTATCAGCGTCATTGCTGTTTCGGGTTGCATGACTGTGCGGTTGCGGTGGCGTTTTTAATTCTATCTAAAATTATAATTGCTAAGAAGGGCTAATCTGACCGTTTGAAAGCTTACTTAATGACCGCCGATCCCCTCATCATTTGGGACTAGATTCACTTATTCTCCGACCATTTTAATGACTATTTCCTGGGGCATCTTGGCGAGCAACGCAACTCATGTCACACTGCACTGATTACGATGCTTTAAATATGTAGCCAGAGTGCCGACCGATCAGCGATTAGAGTGTCTGACGTGCTGCGAGGCTGGGTCGCCAACAGTGGGGCGGAGAGGGGGGCGGGGGGGGGGGGGGGGGGGGGTCCGGCGCCGCTGACGCTGTGCAATCGGATCCGGGCTCGGTGTGCACACCAGACAGCGGCAGCCACCGGCCGGGCCGGGTCTGCCCAGCGAGCCCCGCTTGACGCCGCTCTCTCTCTCTCTCTCTCTCTCTCTCTCTCTCTCTCTCTCTCTCTCTCTCTCTCTCTCTCTCTCTCTCTCTCTCTCCTCTCTATCTCTCTCTATCTCTCTCTCTCTCTCTCTCTCTCCTCTCTCCTCCCCTCCCTCTTCCTGTCCCCTCCCTCCCTCCCGTTCTCCCCTCTCCTCCTGTCCCCTCCCCCTCTCCTCTCACTCCCTTCCTCCCTCCTTCCCTCCCTCTCTCCCCCCTCTCTCTCTCTCTCTCGCTCTATTTCGCCCGGCTCAAGTCCGTGACACCGCCTGCCTGAGGTTCACACTGAGACGGACCGCCCGGCGCACACCGGCGGCTCCTCACGCCTGACCACCGTCCACAGCCGCGCCCGCCTGAGGTTCACACTAAGACGGACCGCCCGGCACACACCAGCGGCTCCTCACGCCTGACCACCGCCCAGTCACGCCCGCCTGAGGTTCACACTAAGACGGACCGCCCGGCACACACCGGCGGCTCCTCACGCCTGACCACCGTCCATTCACGCCCGCCTGAGGTTCGCACTAAGACGGACCGCCCGGCACACACCGGCGGCTCCTCACGCCTGACCACCGTCCAGTCACGCCCGCCTGAGGTTCGCACTAAGACGGACCGCCCGGCACACACCAGCGGCTCCTCACGCCTGACCACCGTCCAGTCACGCCCGCCTGAGGTTCACACAAAGACGGGCCGCCCGGCACACACCGGCGGCTCCTCACGCCTGACCACCGTCCAGTCACGCCCGCCTGAGGTTCACACTAAGACACACCCGGCACACACCGGCGGCTCCTCACGCCTGACCACCGTCCACAGCCGCGCCCGCCTGAGGTTCACACTAAGACGGACCGCCCGGCACACACCAGCGGCTCCTCACGCCTGACCACCGTCCAGTCACACCCGCCTGAGGTTCGCACTAAGACGGACCGCCCGGCACACACCGGCGGCTCCTCACGCCTGACCACCGTCCAGTCACGCCCGCCTGAGGTTCACACTAAGACGGACCGCCCGGCACACACCGGCGGCTCCTCACGCCTGACCACCGTCCACAGCCGCGCCCGCCTGAGGTTCACACTAAGACGGACCGCCCGGCACACACCGGCGGCTCCTCACGCCTGACCACCGTCCAGTCACACCCGCCTGAGGTTCGCACTAAGACGGACCGCCCGGCACACACCGGCGGCTCCTCACGCCTGACCACCGTCCACAGCCGCGCCCGCCTGAGGTTCCACTAAGACGGACCGCCCGGCACACACCGGCGGCTCCTCACGCCTGACCACCGTCCACAGCCGCGCCCGCCTGAGGTTCACATCCTCACCCGTCTGATATAGACGTCTGCCAACTCTATGCTCGCAGATGCTATGATGTCAGAAACCACGACAGCCTCTTGGCCACATGCCACATACTTCACTCGAGCCGACCTTGTACCAAGGAGGGCGATCGGTGGGGAGGGGGTGGGGGGGAATAACTGGGGCCTTGTTCACACCTGTCCGTTGTATCTTCTGTACAAATAGTGCGGTGGGTTTCTATTAAGACCTAGTGTGTGACTATCTTCCATCAATGAAAACTGGAAAAAAATAATTCGTGATATCTCTTGTCCAAGTGACTTGACCCTAACGTTTGGTGTTAAAACACATTGGGCATTCATGTGTCGTCAATGCTCGTAACTGCTTGAAACCTCTGGAAACCGTTACAAGTCTGCACAAATCTACGAACCATCATAAATGGTTTTATACACCAATAAGCAATGCACTTTTATACAGACGGTGATTGTTAAAAAGCTGTTGACTTTTCTACCGCTCCAGCTATATGGTCATACAGCGCCCATATCCATGAGCTCAGCATTTGAACCTTACAAAAAATCCTTGAAATCAGTGTTGTTCATTCCGAAACAGACCTTGCTACTGACCTGTCATTGAAAGCGCAGACCTCGTCGATGAGCTCGGTCCTTTCCCGCGCGCTGCCGAACTTGACGCACTTCTCGATCACGTTGCTGGCGAACTTGTGCTGTGAGAGGGTGATGATGCGTCCGCGCACGCATCCGATGACGCTGGAGCGGTCGTCGGCCGGGCCGTGCTGCACCACATGCTGCACGACGTAGTTGCCGTACTGGTCCTGCAGCAGCTGGTCCGTGTGCTGGTGCATTTCGTCCAGCAGCGGGCGCGTCTGCTCCGGCTGGCAGTGCTCCAGCACGCGCTGAATGACGCGGCAGCCGTATGGATGCGTGGAGAGTGCAAACAGCTGACCGCAGAAGGCGTCCACGATGAACTGCAGTACGGACGGCTCGATCACCTCAATGCACTTCTGCACCACGTGATTGCCGTTCTGGTCCTTGACGCACCTGATGACGTGGTTGTCGAGCTCACGTACCAGCGCCTCCTGCTCGGCCGGCGAAACAGACTCGAGCGCCTTCTGGATGACGCGACAGCCGTACATCTGAGTGGCCAGGGACACCACGTGACCACCGATGCGCTCCACCAGCGCGCTGCGCTGTTCGGCCGTGCCGAACTCCAGCAGCTTCTGGATGACGTAGTTTCCGAACACGTCCGTCATCAGCCCGTAGGCGGAACTCGATATTTCGGTGAAAAGCAGCTGCTTGTCGGTTACGTCTGCCCGCTCCAGCTTCTGTTGGATGAAGCGCGAGCCGTGCTGGTCCTGCGAGAACTCCTTGAAGTGGCCAACGAGGTCACGCAGCTGCAGGTTGGGGAGCCGGTTGTTGCGGAAGTCCTCGAGCAGGCGGCTGCGGCTGATGGCGCGGTCGGGGCCGCGGCGCGCCGGGAAGCCGCCGCCGAACAGGGCGGACGCCCGCGGCCGGGCGTCGGCCGCGACGGCGGGCGCCACCACCAGACCGGGCCCGCCCAGACCGGCCACCAGCGGGCCGAGCGGCGGTGGAGGCGGCGGCGCCAGCCCGGCCGGCCAGAGTGGCGCCGGCTCGTACTCCAGCCCCGCCGCGAAGCCGGCGTCCAGCGACCCCCGCCGGGCGCCGGCTGTCAACGGCGAGCCTACCACACCCGTGTAGCCGGCCGGCGGCAGCAGCAGAGGTGGCAGCGCCGCACAGCTGGTCAGAGTGTCTGAAACAAAACACACGCTGTGCGTCAGCCCCCGACTCTTGGGTGATCAGCGGCGTAGCGGGCTCGGGTTTCGCGCTGCGTAGGCTTAAAGGCTAGCTACGCATAACTGACGAGTCGCAGCAGTGTGCCGTAACGTAGAACCGCGTGATTGATTTGTAGCGTGTGAAAACGATCAAGTGCCCATCTTACGGTGTAAAAAACGTAACGACTCTTCATCCGCCACCCAGGTGCCTGCATACATTCCGAACAACACAAGTTTTATGGGTGCAGGGATGGCCCAACCATACAAAACTTGCGATCATATTGCATGACGCTGTGGTGTTCCAGCATCGTCAAATATAGTGCCATTGATCCCCGCCCAGCTGGCATTTCGCTATAAGTACTCCACTCTTATCATGCTTAACTTAGACACATGATTGAGCTGCAACCGATCAAGAGGGCGCCATGCGCCATGGAGGGATTCATTGTTCAGACTAGCATCCTCGTCTGGTGTGTCATATGTGCACAGCGTTTCGGTCACCAAGTCTCTCACTGTCTTCAGGGGTTGCGGAGTTCTGGGAAGGACTACATGATGCTTGTTTTTCATTCGTGCAAGCGCCACAACGCGAATTGTTCCTTGCCATTGCTGGGATTTAGACGAAAACCTCCTGATTGCGAGAAGAGTGCATTACCAGCTGAGGTAACCTGACAGGGAAGAATGGCACCAGCGGCGCAGCACTGGACTCGCAATCAGAAGGCCCTGGTTAGAATCTCAATGATTCCAAGGAGCAAACTTGGGCTGTGACGCGTTGACGGTTAAAAGCTTAACATGTTCTAGCCCACCTCCGACTGTCTACGTTTTTACGCACCAGATGACGGCGATAGTACAAACAATCTTTTATCTATCCAGTGATCCTAATACCTCGTCTTAATCCTTCCATAAAACTATAGCGGTATGTGTGCCTCATACACCAGGTTATACCCTCTTCGCGAGTCAATGGATGCTAGCACATTAGGTAGTCTGTTATCCTTTGATTACAGCACTGCTCAGTGGAGAGTATGTTTAAACTCTAACAGGGAATACTGCAAATAGCTTTATAGAACATCACTTTTGATGGAGCTTCAGTACATAAAACCAGCGGGCATACAACTGAGTGGCATACACAACTGAATTTCACACCTTGCGGGTCCTCCAGATTATTGGGTTTCTGCCGAGCGATTCCTATCCCTTTTTGCGCGCCAGGTCGGCTTGTGCAACGCGCCTTAGCACATCAGGGAACAAAGGCCCGTACGGACGGCTTAACTCAGGGTATTCACGGACACTGAACAACCCACAATGCCTCCGATCCAAAACCGGTTTTCGTAACGAGCGTCAACGGCACGGAAACTGGTTTGCAAGTTTCCTCAAAATTTTTCCGCCTGAGACGCCGGTCTGGCCGGGCCGGCCGGCCTGACTGGACCGGGCCTGCTGTGGCCGAGGCCGGTCCGGCGCGGCGGCGGCCCGGATCTCAGCAGGCGCCACGCCGCGCGAACAGCCACCGCCAGGCGCCGACTGAGTGGGCTAGCAGTGCGGCTGGTCCGGCCGCGCCGGGCTCGGCCGATGCAGCGTGTGGAGCTATGCTGAGCGTCCCTAACTCGACGCCAGCGAGAAGAGTGAATGCTTGAGGCCGACACCCCGGCCGGCTCCGCGTCACTCACCGGCCGCTGTCGCCGAGCCCGTCGACGAGGCGACGAAGCTGGGCGGTACGCCGAACATGCCTGCCAGGCTGGCGCCGGCCGGCGGCAGGCGGAGGCCGGCCGCCGGCGCCGTCGGCGAGACCAGCAGCGACCCCGACCCGCCGTTCATCCGGCCCAGCGCCACCTGACCGGTGTCGTACAGCGGCGGCACCAGGAAACCAGACAGCGAGGCGACGGCCGGATCCACGGCCGTCGGCGTCGGCGGCGCCTGGCCGTCGGCCGCCGGCTGGGCGTACATCAGCGGCATGCCGTACACACTGGATCCCGGTTGGTACAGCGTCGGCCCTGGCGGCAGAACAGTGCCGTCAGTCAGCTCGGTACAACGCCGGCACAGCGCGCACCCCGTCTGGCAGCGCGTGTGAAGATGGTGACAGACGGGCGTCAGCACGTACCGCAGCTATTGTCAGACCTAGCGTATTTAGGTCATCATCAACGAACAGCGTACCATGCACTCATTACATCATGCGAAAATATTTCCAGCAAAAAGTCAAGGCTTGGTAAGCCACACGCTTTGCAAGACGCGACATTCGTGTTCTGCGAAAGTCATGATGCAATTCATCACGCATCAAAGCTGACGTGTGTCTGCAAAAACACTGGCACGGTACAGCGTGGAAGAAAGCAGTCCCGATCTGATTGTTGCGTCCCCATCAGTCTTCGCTGTGCCACAGGAATGCTGTTCTAAATTGAGGTCCTCTTTCTTTTGCTTAGAAAAGCAGGCGGCATTGTCCAATATTGAGCGCTTCAGCACCACGGTTGATGCCGCGCAGCGCCGAGGCCGGGCTGCTGGCAGCCCTGCCCGCCCTGCGGACATGGCTGATAAGCCAGAGCTCTCGGAACGGCGTCCGGATTACCCAGAATTTCAAAGATGTTGACCGGCAAAGAAGTGGCAGTTGGGTCGCTGAAGCGCGGATTTCTTTATCACAATCACATAAGGCCGGCTCATTCTACGGCCTGTCTGGTAACAGAAAGGGCTGAATTATAAACAAATGCACGAACTCACGAACAAAACGTCTGCTACTAATCGGCCATCTGGTGAAGCAAAAAAGAGAGAAGCGCGACTTAGAACCAGCGCCATTGTTGTCACTGGGGCTGAACGATTCACTCAGTTGCTGAGGCTGCATGGCCATGGCGTCGCCTCCCCGCGGCAGGCAGAGCGGCACCGCGAATAATCCAACCCGGACCTGCGATTTCCCAGAGGCGCGGCTGAACTACTGCACTACCCGTACCCGTAGAAGCGACATTCGAGGACCGCACGAACCAGTCCTCTGCGGTCCGTCACAGGTACACAAATAATGCCAGATGAATGCAGTACTTAACACAGGGGCATGTGGTACGCACTGAATGACACTTTGCGTCGGTTGCTGCCGGGTTACCCCTTTCATGTGTACACACACCCACACCCGCACCCGCACCCGCACCCGCACCCGCACCCGCACCCGCACCCGCACCCGCACCCCACCCACCCACACCCACACCCACCCACACACCCACACCCACACACACCACACACACACCACACACACACACACACACACACACAGAACGCCTCGCGAAACTCCAGCTCTGCGCTGCGAGTCGGCATAGCTCAGGTCGTGTCAGTGTCCGTGTCGACCCGACCGACCCAGGTGATGGCAGGTAGCCGCGTCGGAAGGACCGGCTCAGGTCGTGTCGGGCTCATTTATTTATTTATTTAAAAAAGGAACAGTGTCAGATTCCGTGTAAGCACGCAGGCGGTCACGGCAGTGACATAAGCGAGCTTTCTTCTCACGGCACCAGAACCGAACATCGTCAGCCCGCCCAACGGCGATTCCGCAACAAAAAGCTGCGGCAGTGCAGCTCGCAAAAACGTCGGCCGAGTAGGCGCGGCCGGGCCGGCGATCCTCCTGCGGCCAGAGGTGGATGACCCGCGGCAAAAAAGCCTCCCGCTGACCCGTCGACCCGGTTCGCGCGCACCTGAGCCGCCGCCTGATGCTCACCTGCCATGTAGTAATGCTCCTGGCCATTCGGAATGTAGGGCAGGCTAAAGTCGGCGCTGATCAGACCTGGAACGGAGGCGCCCGCTCATCGATGAGAAGGAATGCAGGCCAGCATGGAGGGCGGACCGGCAGACCGGCAGACCGGCATCCAGTGTGGAGGTGCTGATACCCGGGAAGGACAGTGATAGGAGTCAGTAGCAGGGGCCCAGTGCTCTTGTCGGACACGCGGTCCAGCGCCGGCATGGACAGGTTGGGCCGCGGGTAGCGGAACACTGATACGGAGGCGACATACCTCACGTCACCTGCCCACGCTCTTTCTGTCGCCGGCGGCGCCCCTTCCGCCAGCCTTCGTTGCACACGTTTGCTCGTTTGTTTGCCGATTTCCAGTCACCTGTGATCTCACGGTCACATTCTAAAATAATGCACTCGAGCAGGCCAGGGACCTTCTCTGTTCCGATAGGTGCGACGGATGATTCACTGAAGCTTTAGATCAACACACTTTAGGCGACGACACTACGATGAAAACGGGAAGAGCGCACAAGAAAACGCGATGAGCACTTATATCCTCTACATATCAACGGTCGAAGGACAACAACCTGGCACCAACACCCGCAGTCTGGAACTAAAACATGTCTCCGCCGGGCCAGAACCGCGGCACAAAACAAAACAGCACTTGCCACGACGCGTCGCGAACGCATTCCCACATCCAATGACGGCGTACGCCAGCGCCGCGAAAGGCTCACTGGGACTGGCTCTACTCTCGCTGGGAGTATCCGTAAAGTAACCGCCTGCTCTAGTCTAGCTGGCACCATGGTAGAGCGCCGGCCGGCTCTAGCCTCGTTTGGACTGTCCGTAGAGAGCCGGCCTGCTATAGCCTTGCTGGGACCATCTGTAGAAAGCCGGTCTGCTCTAGCCTCGCTGGGACTATCCGTAGAGTGCCGGCCTGTTCTAGCCTTGCTGGGACTATCCCAAAGTGCCGCCTGGCTCTAACCTCGCTGGGACTATCCGTACAGTCCCGGCTTGCCCTAGCCTCGCTGGGACTATCCTTAAAGTGCCGGCTGGCTCTAGCCTCGCTGAGACTATCCGTAGAGTGCCGGCCTGCCCCAGTCTCGCGCCAGACACAGATAGGTGGAATACTGCGCAGCCATCCGCGCTGCCATACAGGCGGTGTGACGTCAACGTCGCGGCCGCCGTACAGGCAGCGTGACGTCACCACCGCGGCTGCAGGCGTTTCCACTTTCAACGTCGTCTCATTTGTAGCATGCTGTCACACTCTACTTATTTGAAGAGACGAACGGTTCGAAAGTGAAATGAGAGGGGCCGCGCTCCGCCGCCGCCGGCACGCTTAAGGTCGGACCAACATGGCATGGCATGGCATGGACGAAGTCGCCACCTTCTCCAGGCGCGCGGACAGAGTTTTTCTAACATACTGACAACGGTTGCAGCCATTTGGAGGCACGAACTGTAATCTGCAACAGTGTAGCGCTACAAAAGAAAAAATGAGATCTCCCCAGCGATTGGCGCAATTTTCCTCCTGTTGTCTGCTAGGACGCCATACTTGCGGCGACCACCAAGGTCCAGCACTTATGTCCAACTGGTACTGACGCTCTCCTCCCCTAGTTACATTAAAAAAAAATAACTGTATAAAATTAAGACCCGGAAAAGGCTCATACCATCTTCGTGCCATACGACTGAGATCCAATGTCGTTGTTCAAGCGGTGTTTTTATAAAGCTTTACAACAACGGCTTCGATCCTACAACAGCCGCATCAGCAGGTCAGTTAAAGTTCGTCATTGTAATAAAATACATCATACCTGCGAGATAGCGGCCCTGTAAAGCTGTAAGTGCAAAGCCAGGGAAACTTGAACGACTATTTGATTCATAGCCCGTGACCGATACAGCGCTCACCTGAATATAATAATGCTAGTATCAGTGAAACAATGCTAAGCAAACTGTCAAACTGTAAGCCAGACGTGATTAAAGCGATTCACACAGAAGATGGATTCACCATCGGATTAAAACCTCTTAGGGCATCATGAACACAGCTTGTCGGTATCATACCGGTTGGCATGCGCAGTCATCGGAAAATCCATGGGATTAATCTACGTTAGATGACCAAGTTAAACGTGCTGTTGAGCGACCAAAGAACCACTGTAGATCAAAGCTTAAAATGGCGCGTAGACTAAAGCTTAAAATGGCACACATGCACCGCTCCATGACGTGTCCTGAAGGTGTTATTTCTGTACCCTGGACTTGTAGGCACCCGGGACTACCTCCACCACGATATTAACGGCACACTTTTATCAAGTATCAGCTGAAACGTTGACAACACCGACATCCGGTTGGCGACGGCGTGACGCCACTCTCAAACACGTACGACCGGCGCACGTGCGGTCACCGGGGTCACTCGCCGCCCGCGCGGCGCGGCGCGGCGCGGCGCGGCGCGTTGGCGGCCGAGGCAGAGACGTGACGCTGGGCCGGGGGGGGGGGGGGCGAGGCAGGACAGACCCGGTCGACCTCAGACCCCACAAATCTGACGAGGACGACGGCCCAGACCCAGCCGATACTATACCGGACTCATGTGTCAGTGTGGACGTACCAGACCTTTCCGATGAGACCGCGGAGCACCCGAGGTCCGGCGGACTAATGTTGCCCGACACCGCTCATCTGCCAGTCGAGCCGAAATGATTGCGGACCCCGCTGGGAGGCGTCGGAAGGCGGACCCGCTCCTCGAGCGACGGCCGTCGCCGAGTGGGCTCCCCCAGCCCCACCCGAGCGACGGCCGTCGCAGAGTGGGCTCGCCCCCCCCCGCCCCACCCGAGCGACGGCCGTCGCCGAGTGGGCTCGCCCCCCCCCCCCCCCCCCGCCTCACCCGAGCGACGGCCGTCGTAGAGTGGGCCCGCCCCCCCCCCGCCCCGCCCGAGCGACGGCCGTCGTAGAGTGGGCCCGCCCCCCCCCCCCGCCCCGCCCGAGCGACGGCCGTCGTAGAGTGGGCCCGCCCCCCCCCCCCGCCCCACCCGAGCGACGGCCGTCGCCGAGTGGGCTCCCCCAGCCCCACCCGAGCGACGGCCGTCGTAGAGTGGGCCCGTTCTCCGAACGACGGCCGTTGCAGAGCGGGCCCCGCCGAAGCACACCTTCATGACTAGCAGACAGCAACGGCTCATTCACTGATAGCTGCGGAAGCGACCTCACCGCGCCCGTTACACATTTACTTAAGGCCACGCGCAGACCGACGGCGGCCAGAGGTGGCCCAAAATGGTGCCCGACTGCGGCGAGGGCAAGATGGCATAGCTCTGTGTTGCCGTGAAGCGCAGAGATGCGCGGCGCATCCCTGCTTCGTTGGCAACCGTTGGGTTCCAGACGCCAGGTACAGTTATCCAAAACAGAAAGAAGTGAGGGTAGCCCGCCAGCGCCAGCGACGCCAATCGATCCCAACCGCTTTCCTGGCGCGATAACATGCCACATTTCCACCAAATAGCAGTTTGCATAATTACGCAGCGGCGTTTTCCGAGCACGTTTGGGCGGCGAAGACATTGACGTAAATCGGTTCGATGGCGGCTGGAGATTCAGCCGGCGTGGTCTGCATCCAAGCAGGAAAGGGGAGGGGGTGGGGGTAAGGGGTGGGGGTGGGTGGGGGGGGGGGGCAGCATCTCTCCTCACCAACGGCGTCCGAGCCGGGGGATCCTCCATGGCACCCATCCTCACCAGCGGTGTCCGAGCCGGGGGGGGGGGGGGGAGGGGTTCCAGCACCCAGCCCAACCAGCGGTGTCCGAGCCGGGAGGGCCTCCGCAGCACCCAGCCTCGCCAGCAGCGTCTGAGCCGGGGGACAGGGGGGGGGGGGGGAGGCGCTCATCCATTGAAACGAGGCTTGACGGCGCCTTACACGATTGCAGCACTTTGTCTGAGCGACCGTTCACCGCAGACGCGGGCAGGTCTGGCCCGCGAGGAGCCAGCCGGGGGTGAGTCACTGCAGCCCCTTCGTTCTCCCCATCCCCGACCCGCCCCAACCGTGAAACGTGTGTTCACAGTCGAGCAGCCTGCGGTCCTATCGAGGACGAGTTGGGACGGGAGGCGTGCGAGGGCGGCGGCGGTGGCGGCCCTGTAGCCGATGGTACGGACGACGGGCGGGGCGGCACACCGTGTCAAGCTTAACAGCGGACGACAGCCCCACAGCCCCAACAGCATCAGCCGGCGGCAACTCAACAGCCCCAACAGTACTAGCCGGCGGACACGACGGCACGCGCCAGCTAACCGGCCGCAGAGAGGCAGGCTGCTACCGCTTTCATTGTGGAGACGCCGTCCGACGGTGCATGACGGGCTCTCCATATGAAACCAGTGCCCTAAGACGGCATGAAAACAGCGGGCTCCCCCAACTGGCATGGGAGTGATCCCCTATCTACGCTATACAGCCGATCCCAGTGCCAGCAGCGACACAGCCGGGGCCAGGGAAACGGTGGCGAACACGAGGAGCGCATTCAGTACCCATGGCACTTGGCACTTGTGGTGCCAACTTAGGACGACCAGCTTTTGGTGACAGGCACACCCTCTTGGAGCAAAACCATTTCAGAAATTCGTGTCACGCTGACTCACCGGGTGGTAGGTGTGCCGCATGCTGCTGTTGCTGCTGCTGCTGTTGCTGCTGCTGTTGTTGTTGCTGCTGCTGCTGCTGATGTTGCCGCCGCTGCTGTTGCTGAGAGACCAAGTACTGCTGCTGTTGCTGCTGCTGCTGCTGCTGCTGGAGCTGCTGCTGTTGGTGCGAGAGTACCTGCACCTGCCCGCTGCTCATGAAGCGCTGACGGAGGGGAGACGACACGTCAGCCTGCAGATCACAGCGTCAAACAACATGTCAGCCTGCAGATCACGACGAGCAGCGACACGTCAGCCTGCAGGTCACACCGTCAGACGACACGTCAGCCTGCAGGTCACACCGTCTGACAACACGTCAGCCTGCATGAGCACGGCTGTAAACTGGGCGCGGAACCACCTGGTTGCCCCCCGCTTGCATATGCATGCTCATCCACGACTGATCTGGCCGCCACCCTCTGCCTGGCAGGGCACACGCATTTCCGCAAAAAATCTGCGCCCTCATGCTTGCGCGCAGCCATTTAAATCCTGAGTTGTATTTTATTTACTCGCACAAGCTTTACGGGAAACTCAGGGAGAAAACAGAGGCGAAATCCGAAGTATGCTTCAGCCCCAGAGATACACCAGCCCTCTTCGATCATTGCCATTCCTGAAATAGTACAAATCTACAGGGCAGTGATAACAGACCGCAATGATATCCGATCACCTCCAAGCGAGGGGTATGGCTCTACATCGCTTCGCGGCCGTCCTAACGTTCATAGAGCGCAAGTGGGTCGCCACAGTTGATCCTCGGGCACATACAACCTAAGGTACGCTCACATATGTCAACTACGAACACGCGCCCGGGTGGCCGGCTGGATACCCTTCACTGGGGTGGGAGGGGTGTGTCATTTTGACCCCCACCCGAGCGCGTGTTAATGATCAGCACGATACGTTCTTCGCTGCTGATCGTCCTCTCGCCGCTGATCATCTCGCTGCTTCTTTAGTTTGCCATTGGTGGAGGATCAAGCCCAGCATGCCAGATAGCCGTAGTGCATATAAAAGTATAAAATATTAAAACCTATGCACTTTTCAGCGTGCTGTCAGGCAAATATATTCGTTTGCTTGACTTCTGATATATTGGATGACCATTGGTACCACAGGCATTGTCATTACTTTGCCGTTCCTGTTTACCGTATCGAATGTCTATTCCGAGGGACGGTAAGCATGCTAAAGCAATGCACCATTATAGAAGACCCTGCACATCCCGAGACAACCATTTCTGGACCTATGGTATGAATTGCATCCCATGCCCGCCAGTTATGTATCGGGCTCATTCATCTCCCAAGGGACACCTGATGATCTCAAGCAACACTGGCATCCCATACGACTGGTGAGTGCGAAAGTCTTCGGAGCTCCAAGAATAGTTCCGGTCTCTGCATTAGCCCAATTACCTGCAGGTAGCCGTTGACAATCTCGAGGGATTGAAAACAGTTTGGAAGCCATCATGCTCCCTGAGCACCTGACCGGCTCAGGTTCTTCTCCGAGGAGTTTTACTGCAGTGGGAGCGAGACCACCGGGTCACCACGGCAATGTTATATGGATATCCTCTTTAGCGCCCCGGACCTATGTCTATATGGAGAGATTGCTTTGTGTCTCCGATTTCTTTATAACCTGCTGAACTGTCTGGTTTCGTAACACTCCCGTGAGGGGCAGAGGAAATCGAGTCTCGCGTGCAGCGTGCTCGCGCAATTTATTGTGTGTCGTGGAACATCGCACGTTCTCGATCTTCTTATTGTGCGTGTGACCTGATTCTCCAACTTGAGCCACTCTAGTTTCTGAACTATCAAAAGCTGAGCGGCGAAAATGGGGGAAGGCATATCCGGGAGAGTATTTCAAAGTCACCTTGGCATTCATGACGTCATAATAAAGGCATGCAAATCCTGCCATTCCATAAGCTATGCTGCCATCAAAGCAAAAAAGTATCATTGTCGAGGCGTTCTTATCTGGCGTTCGTGAGAGCAATTTTCAGATCTAACGGCCGTCAATTATTTCTCAATCATCATCTCAATCATTTCCACCTAAAAAGCATACCAAAAGCTATAAGTGAGCTTGTTTCGTCATATCTGATGCTTGCTTCAATATTTTCAAATGTAAAAGATTCCCTCCTGCCACGAACACAGCATAACGTGCCACAACTTTGGTAAGGGGCGTGTGCCGTCGGGGTCTACTAGGAACGCACGCCCCTGACGAGGCAGGCGCTCAGTCTTGACAGCAATGTTTGCTGCGCTGTAAGGGAAGAACCGGCGCTTGTATCCCTTTCTCCGATGTGCGGCCCTGGTTGTCTGTGCAGCCTCACGAAATTGAAAATGTTACGTAGATGGCTTGACGCGGGACTGCACCACACCAAGCTTTCTATGCAGCTGGTTGGGAAGCCGTTTTGGTTTTGGGACTAATGCCGCCTGGGTTTGGGACTAATGGCTAATAAAAGACGTCACATAATGTCAGGGGTTTAAAAATTGCTACGAAACGGTGCTAAAAATTGCTATCATTACTGAGAACGGCCCCCATGAAAAGTCATACATTTTTAAGACTTTTCGGGGAGCAACGGACTTCCAGCTGTTCCCGAAGCGTTCCCGAAGTTCAATGACATTAAAAGGAACATTGTCGTCTCAGGAGGGATCCGAGACGTCTAGATGGTCCTAATGGTCATTGAGCTTGAATTGAAATGACTATTGGGTCACAAGGCTTCAGAAGGGCCTGGCGCGGCGAAGGCTCTTCGGAAAGTAGAGGGATATCCACACGGAATATTGGGATCACGAAATCATCAAGATGAGCCCATACAGAAGGAGCTGTGAACCCTCGGCACTACGTTCTCCGTTCGGCTGATTTTGTTAGCTTTTGCGGTTTCCAGTTTGCCTAGGTTTCTATGGGCTGCGAGGTACTACGAAAAGCGTGTGGCGACAGGTCACATTTTAAGTAATTGAGACCATTCGCGTTGAATCGACGAGCTGGCGCAAGGAAAGCTTAACCATCGCCCGGCCGGGGGCCTGAGACAAGCGCGCAAGGCCGGAGGGGGAACTGACTCCCCCCTCCCCAAGGATCTCCAGCCTTCATGGGTCGCACGAGTAAAACAAAGCTGCAGTTGTTGAGGCCACGTCAAGGCATCAACAACGCACACCAAGTTGCTTTGCCTTAGGCTAGACATGAAGTCACCACAAGCCATGAAAGGTCAAAAACGATCGTTCTGGCAGATGCGCATAAAACATATGTTAACACATCAAGACGGCTACTGAGAGCACACGAGCAAGCGTTAAGACGGTGGGGGTTCATTCTGATCACTTTTGTTCCCTCACAGGGGTCAGGCCAGTTCACAATCCAGAATTAGTCTTTCAGTAGCCTACAAGAGTGATGTTTTTGTGTTTTCCAAATTGTAACGGTCTCGTTGCTCGAAAGGTGAATGACTCGTGAAATGAGCAGTCGTAGCAGGATTTTTTGTCTGCATCGGGTAGGCGGATTCACGACTGATGATGACGAAAGTCGACGAAGGTTAAATGAAAAAGTCTGTTGGACTGACGTCATCGGGGCGTCATGTCATCACGTATCACACTGATGACGATGCTGAGATGGGCCACCAAGCTAGTTTTGATCGTCGTTTCTATGCTGAACTTCATCGAAGAGAACTCATGTTGATGAAGCTCAATACATTTCGGCAGTTTGCTTCAGCGCGGGTTCAGGTGCCAAGGACATCTCCAATGCATCTCAAAAGCCTCGGGAACTTAAATTGGTAGTCTGTCGGTCAACCATAAATAGTCTGTGATCTGACCTAGTCAGATCCGAGCATCAACTTTTATTCCAAGATATCCAGAACATCTGTGACGTAATTTTCGCATATATGGTGTTATTCAAAAGGTTAGTACAATAAAAAATTAACTAACCGAAATCCCACTCTCCCGGCAAGCGGTGTGTTCACAAATTTGGCTCCGCCGTACGATCGTTTTCCACCTAAACATGTAGTAAGTGTAAACCATAACAATGTAACAAATCTAGTAGAGGCGCAATAAGTAGTGGTGCAAAATGTGCATCAATTTCACATCTATATTTTTTTCTAGTCCCCACGCATTAATAATTTCCACGATTTTGCCTTGCTGGGGAGGCGAGCAGCACAAAGCGGTGCCTCTTTCCCGCAACATTCATTTGGTCCATACATCGTGACAGGAAACAAGATGGCCGCGGTTTGCTCTGGGTATTCACAATTTATTAACCTGCTGTTGGAATAGGATTTTTGCCTGTGCTGGAGGAAAAACAGCATTTTGATTTTCTTGCAGACCAAACGCTTTATGTGTGAACGAGTGGTACATTCTAGGAAGAAAATAACTCCAGACTTGCATACGCTGCAGATCTAGTTTTCTTGTGTTAATCCTCAGGAGGTCATGCTCGCCATTTAGGCTAATGGCTGGTGGGGCGCTCTTCAGTTATATTCCGTGCTTATCACTGTAAAAAATGGCACTTAATCGACAAGATCTCCCTTCGCCTTACCAGCCTACAGCCAAGAGTTTGTACGGTGAACTCTGTAATAACCTCTTGTGGTAAATGTGCAAAACCGTAAGATATCATATTTCAATAAAAATATGTTATCTAAACCATAAAATACAACACATCTAGTATGGAACATCTGTTTATTTGTTAAAGCTTCCTTCAACCCGCCAGTAAAGTCAAACTGGTTGTAACTCACTGCGGCGCATTGATTGAGTCCTTCATAAATCTGCTCCGCTGTCCATAAATCTGCTCTGTATCAACCACGGCACCGGCCCGATATCGCCGCCGCATACTCAATTCTAAATGCTGCTGATAACAGTTACATACTTATTTGATGAAAGTTTGCGTGTCGATTTTATCAAAATCTTCCATCCTTTAGGTAGTAAATGGTTGGTTATTTGGATTAGCTCTTTCGGCCGATAAGGACCATTTTAAGCTGTGGGTTACAGGAGAGAGGTTGACGGCGGGTAAGCTACATGCACCTGGGGACCCAGCCGCCGAGACTAGGCCCGCACCGCACCGCACCGCAAGCACACACCCTCTGCGGGGTGTGTGCTTGGCGCTCGGAAGATAGCCCCCAGATTCCCTTCGGCCTACTTGTGGCTGGCGAATGTAGCCTGCTCCGGACGAGCGAGACATCGTGAGGATGCGGGATAAAGCAATGAAGGGGGTAAAAGGACGCTCCTTGTACTATTCGTCATGTGCATCGATGACTAGTTCAACGCAATGCTTGCGGAGGATTTTGTATCCTCCACAGGCTGCATCCGTTTGCCTCCCGCATATAATAGCCTCCAAGATCTATCTAGTCTGCTCCGATCGATCAAGTCATTCGTTTCTCGAGCAGAAACCCCAAAACTCACAGGATCTAGCTCATCACCGATCTCTTCCGCTGCAGCCACTACCCAAGTCAGGCGATCAAGTATGTTCCACGGATGGCAGAACATCCACTGCTGGTTCACAACGTGGACAATTCAGGCTTCAACAAAACAGAACAAAGCGGACGCCGGGGCCCCACTTGCAAAAGGATGGGCCCGCCTTATATCACTGATAGCCGCCCATTCAATCACCGGAACCGTCAAGAAAGGGACCTAAATACCGGCACAGTCTGGAGCCAAACACGGTCCAACAAAATGTGGCGTAGCCAACACTGAAACCGTCGTCCAATCCAGCGAGAGGTCGAGGATGTAACGATTGGGCGAATGGTTTCTGAGGCTAGTGCGATATTAAGCTCAGCATCATGGTCCGCAAGGTCCCCTGCGTTTGCGTATAATAGCCCTACTGCCATGCACGAGACAATCCGGAGGAATGATTCCATGCTGCTTTCACAGGCACTTGGGCGATCACATCGCAAGAAAACCGATCTTCGATGAGTTGATCACTCCAGCCATCGCCACTGTCGTCTCCCTGATGAGAAGGCAAACTATCCAGCTCTCAGCAGAATTGCTGATCATGTGACATCCAAGGTACCAACGGTATGCATGTCATCGACATAGTCGAGTTTTGACTGGTATAAACAAATTCCCGTTGCTTAACCCACAAACAACATACAACCACTCCTCCAGCGTGAAGTGCTCACAAAATCACTTGATTATCTTACAGCCAACCAGTAAATGCCGAGAATCATTTAGCTATGTCTACGCATGATGATTAGCATGTACCACAGATGTCCATGCGAGTTAATGTAGCTGGGGTTGCGTAAGAATAGTACAAATGAGCACACAAGTCCCTACATTACGGAACCCAATCCAACCGGTGTTTAAGCCAGATCGTGCTTTGTGCAATAACGGGCCCCACAAGCGACAGCGCCCAATGCCGCCCGCTACGAAATGTCGCCCAGGCGAGTGAACTGGACGCCGGTTCCAGCTCTCTCTACAGACGTGCGCAATGTGTGGGGCACCTCGCACCTCTGCACGTATGTTTGTGCAACACCGCCACCCGGTTGCGGTCGGCGAGAGGCGGGTGCCAGCGGCGGGGCCCGGTTTGCCGCTGCCGACGGGGCCCGGTTTGCCGCTGCCGACGGGGCCCGGTTTGCCGCTGCCGGCGGGCTCGGAGTTCCGCCGGCCCGTCCAGGCTTGCCGCGCGCTAACAAACGACACGGGTCAAACGGCAAACGCAGCCCACGCACGCCACCGAGGCTTCCGCGGCAGCACTGCGGCAGCGCGTGAGCGGCCACGGGGCGCCGAAACGGACGCCAGAAGCCGGCACGAGAGGCTGCCGCCGCGTGGGCTAGTTCAGCTGCGTGAAGTCACAGTCACGACTCCAAGGCATCCAGAGGTCTCAGCCCACACCTGCTGGGGAGCAGTCAGGATTTCCCTTGTCACATTTGACGATATTTAAGCAAGTTCATATATGATGACGCCATTCACTTTTTTACATTTAGTATGCTTTCAAGCGGCAAAGGCTGCTCTAGAAAATAACCTTTCTCTATTTAGTGAATTTCCTTCCCAACAAGTCATTGTTTGATCGCATCATGGAACGTTTGCAAGACATTCGTTGAAGTGCTGCCAAATTAGCCGTGCGACATTGCCACCCATGCACTCGCTTGCAGTACTTCAAACCTGTCGAGAGATGGCAGCACGGCGCTAGTAGTGTTCGCTAAGTCAAATATCGTCATGTCCCTGTGTCGTGGCTCTTTCTCATGGTGTTCTTGCATATTCATCCGTGATTTAAAGCAGTTATCTTGTATTCGCATACTGGGTATATCGCTTTTCTTAAGTTATTCTATTACAAATCTTATTTCCGTCCCAACTAGCAGTAACGTTCAATTTCATACATCATGTAGCACAAAGCGCGATTCGTGATCTAAACTTGCAGATTGCTCAATACTGGTGCAGCAATAATTTGCGTTCATGTTTGGAAGTTGCGCTCACGGACGCCAGATCTGAACGGCACGACGATGCATATATTTTGGGGTCTTGAACGCCGCCTAGCATACGGGGTGGCAAAATTTAGATGGCGCTACTATGGCGTAATGTATGCCTTAATGGACTTGGAATAGTCTGCACACAATAGTCTGCACATCTCTGTGGGAATGTAACTCAGAAACTAGTGGTGTTAGGTCTTAGAAAGGACGGGGCTGTGAACCATATCGAATAATCTTCAAAATGGCCATTTTAGTTTAAAACTCGATAGAAATGAGGAACACTCTGTAAGAAGGGAAGGTTATGGTTTGTTGAGAGCGCATCACGCCCATTTTTATCTTCCTTCAGTCAGAAGCCATCTACGATGAAAAAACACGGGACGAGGGGAGCGCTCCCCCCCTCACCCGGATGTATCTTTGCATACATGCGCGGAGGTTTGGGCCTTTCACGGATCCCTGACTTCCTGCCTTGCCCCTCAGAAAAAGCCCAAATCCCCAAAACTCTCTGAATGTCAAGCTCACTGGTGTTATTGGGGGAGGGGGGAGGGGGCATTTATGCTATGTGTTTCATTCCAACATGGTGCATCGTGATGTCGATAGGTTAACTCAACTGCTGACAATGCCAAACATTTGAGAGCCGCATTATACTGGTGAGTTTTGGCAGTCAAATCTGAACGGGTGGCCCGCGTGAGTATTGAATGGCGCAGGTGATGTTATGCACCTTTACATGGATACGATTGCTTCCCTCCTTCTTGAACACAGGCATATACCCGAATCGTAAGCATGAAACATTGTGCTGAAATGGAGCCTAAAGCAATAAATGTATTGGCAGAGGTGCTCAATGTTCTTGGCAGCATTGGTTGGCTACCGAGGTGTATGCAGGAGTTTGCAACGGAGGAGAGTCCAACTCATAAGCCCCTGGAGAAACTTTTCAGCGCGGCACATGCGCAATTTTTTTTTAGTCCGGCCAATAACAACATTGCAGCTTTTCTTTGCACTCATTGTATGTGTGTGCCACAATGGTGTCTTTGTAGTGATTTTCTCACAGGCGTACACAATGCCTCAAATTTGCTAAGGGAAAGGGAGCGTGGCATCGGTGCCCATCCCCCGTGACTGAAGCACCTGCTAGTTAACATATATATTTTGGTCGGCAATGGCTAAGGCCGATGTGTGGTGAGCCCGTAATCCGAAAATATCGCGGCCAAGTTACACGCATGATCTCCGAAAACTCTTTTTTTAGATTTGGTATTTAAGTCCTTATCACACATCCAGTGCATGCCAGTTAACACACTCCTCTGCAGGGCGCATACCTAAGGTTTAAGGGGGAGCACGGATGGCAGGAGACTGCCCGGGTCACATGGCCAAAATACCACGCACCGTACCTTGTAATTCTTGGTTTCTGAGCTGATGGGCTTGTAGAGCATCAGCTCATGTGGTGTCACGAAACGCTTGTCCTTGAGCTTCATGTTATGCTCGACGGTTATCACACCCATGACCAGCTGCGGTGGCGTTCCGCTGCTGCGGCACGTGTCCGGCAGCTGATCAGCACTGCGTGACCTGGCACACCATGCGGACCGAAGCCGCTCCGATACCGTGGAGCGACCGGCGCTGACAGCCTGCCCGCGGGCACCAGCTCCCCCCCACGGCGCCGCGGGCCGCCGTCTGCCGACTAGAGGCAGCGGCCGCCTCGCCGCCTCCTCTCAATTGGACCGCCGCGCGTTGGCTGGAACATAAGTTGGCGGCGATGCCCGCTGCCGCGGTTTCGCGCATGCAGTGGGTGTACAATGCACGCGCGGCATGCGACACTGGGTGACCCCGGTGCCCCTGTATTGTATTGTATTATGCCACCGCCTCGGGAGCGGTGAACGCCAGCTCAGACGTCCAATCAGCGTCCAGCCCGGCCACGTCACACCCCCGGCACAGCTCAACGAGCTCAATGAAACAATAAATGGACGCGCTTTATGCAGTAATGGAACTCAATCGGGGCCAGTACTGACTGCCGTCGCGCCTCGTGATGGAGGGGACTCAGGACGGAAGGGGGACAGTTAGACCAGCACACGGTGATAGCGGGCAGGCAGGCCGGCACGTGTGCTCAAGGAATCCCAATGCGCCGTGCAACTGTGCTCCGAGTGTTAAAACTGCTTAGACGGAGTGTTTCACATTCATGTGCGGTTTTGAACTAGAGAAGCCATCTTGAAGGGCTTTCGGTGACTGTTCACAATCATGCCCTTCTTGAGAGCTAAGCCCCTCCAGTTTCTGAGCTACATGCCCGCAAACTGGGAAAAGGTATATCGAGGAGAGTATTTCAAAGCCACTTTGGCATTCATGACGACATAATACTGTCATTCAAATTCTGTCACTTCATAGTCCCTGTGACGATCAGGGCCTAAACAGGTGCAATAATCGACGCGTTCATATCTAGCGTCCATGAAAGAAATTTTCAATAAAACGGCCGTCAATTGACTCTCAATCCGTGCTGTGGAAGGTACGATGACGCTCTCAAACCACGGCCCATTGATGAGGATATTTAATGAACAGAAAATTGTGCTGTCTACGGTAGTCTTTTCCACTAAAAATATACCAATGATCGTAAGTGAGCTTGTTTCGTCATATCTGATGCTTCAATATCTTGAGATGCGAGACATTCCATTTCATTTCGGTAAAATCGGTAAAATGTGCACTATCGTAGTGTTTATGTCCGGCTAATTGATATATGTAATAAACGGAGAGCTGAAAAACCCGCAATGTTGAGATATAATGGTAATTGGGGCTTTAGGGCACTTCGACTGCGCTTTTACGTAGCGCCCATAACGTATGTCCTGGTCAAAACTAATAAAATTCAAGGAGACCTATCATGTGTCACGAACAATCTGAGTAGGCGTCTATATACACCAGAAGTTACCACACGATAGGAATTTAGACAGATATTCGGTGCGTGCTGAGTAATTGCCGAGTAGATCGGAGAGCGTGAGAGACGGTGTAGTCGGGCCGAAGTACCGCAGTCGTTCAACTCGTAGTGCGGGACAAGAGATGAGCACGTGGCGCACAGTAAGCGTTACGTTACATTGGCGGCACCGAGGCGGTTCATCGCGACATAAAAGGTGACTACGGATGGCGTGAGCATGTCGAATTCGCAAGCGACTTAGGACTACTTCCTCGCGCCTTGACTTCCGATAGGATGATTGCCATTTCTGGATGACCGGCTTAATTATTTTCAGTTTGTTGGTGCCTACCACATCCCACGTGCTCCATCACAAGCGTCGCAAAAGGATGATATAGCTGGGTATAAGCCCGTAGCGGGTGTTGGAAACGCTCTTCTGCATGGACGAAGCGTAGCATACTTTGTGCCGACGTCGGTAGCCTCATTTCCGGCGATTCCTCTGTGGCTTGGAATCCAGCACAGTGTTACGGTCTTCCCGGCCTGGTATAAGGAGTAGAGCCGTAATAGAATGACCTGTACAAGGGGACTTGTGGGATTAAAAAGTCTTAATGCCAAAATACTACTTAATGAGTCTGATAAAATTCAGTGCAACGCGTCCTTAGTCCACCTGCATAAAGCTTAGTGTCTTGTAAATCGCAACGAGCTCCTGCAGTATGTACATACGAATACGTCGGCGGCGTGAACGATCGTGTGCCTGGGCCGCACGCAAAAACGCAGCCAACCGCCGTCAATCCGTCTTAGAACCGTCCGTAAATGGGGTTTTGTGTCCGTGATACACTTCGATATGTCAAGGCTGTAGCTCTCGCAACACAGGATATCATATCTTGTTTTCGGGCCTGCTCCAGAGACGCATGGATGGCTGGCGATACTAACGTTCATGGAGGGGCTTGCAGGCTGGATTGACGCATCACTCCCCGAAGGCTCAATCCACTCTCACGAAGGACATCGTGAACACGCTGTCTAAAGGCATGGACACTTCGCGTTTGCTTACCGCGGAAAACATTTAATGTTTCGCGAGAAACCCTAACACCATGCGTTGGAAGATCTGGGAGCTGCGCCAGGTTGCCAGCGTACCGCAACCATATGCAATGTTGACATGAGTATACTGTGAATCTTTCAAACCAAGTACATGTCTGAGAATTTGCAAAACATATCTTGAGGTGCACACAACACATACAACGTAAACTATGGGGCAACAGACCAAGGCCGCCAGCCTTGCCAGCTAGTTATATATACATGTATATATATATATATATTATATATATATATATATATATATTATATACATTGGTCGTTTGATCAAGGTTTATTGTGGTGTTTATCGTTTTCGGCGTGTCGATACAGAATGCTACTAAATACCATCCACTTGGCCAGCGTTTCGATCAGTGTGTGTGTGTGTGTGTGTGTGTGTGTGTGTGTGTGTTCGTGTGTGTGTGTGTGTGTGTGTGTGTGTGTGTGTGTGGTGTGTGATGTGTGTGTGTGTGTGGTGGTGGGTGTGTGGTGTGTAGTGTGTGTGTGTGTGTGTGTGTGTGTGGTGTGTGTGTGTGTGTTGGTGGTATAGTAGTGTAGTGTGTGATGTGTGGTAGTGATGGGTGTGTGGGTGTGTGTGGCGTGGTGTGTGGTGGGTGTGTTGTGTGTGTGTGTGTTGTGTGGTGTGGGTGGTGATGTGTGTGTGTGTGTTGTGTGTGTGTGCTGTGGTGTGGCTAGTGTCGTGCGTGCGTGCGTGCGTGCGGTGCGTGCGTGCGTGGCGTGCGTAGCGTGCGTGCGTTGCGTGACGTGCAGTGCGTGCGTGGCGTGCGCGTGTGCGTGTGCGTGTGCGTGTGCGTGTGTGTGTGTGTGTGTGTGTGTGTGTGTGTGTGTGTGTGTGTGTGTGTGTGTGTGTGTGTGTGTGTGTGTGTGTGTGTGTGTGTGTGTCATTGGGGCTTTACGACGCACCCATCTGCCGAGGCTACATGGCGTCGCCTGCCTCTCACCCTGGCAGGAAGGGCGGGCACCGCGGGGAATCGAACCCCGTACCTCTGGTTTCCCGGATGCGCAGTGGTTAACGCAGACGCGTTAGCCATTACACTACCGGCACCCCTACGTTTCGATCAGTTCTATGATCATTTTGAAGATAGATATTGCTCCTTAAAAATACAGTCACAAACACGGTGCATATACACCAGTCCTTTTGCGTCGTATGCCCTCAACATACGTGGTCGAGGTATTTGAAAAATGGCATTTGCATGTTGCATGCATTAACTCCAGATGCACTCCTTATGGTTGAGAGTTTTACATCGTCACCAATCAAGTTGAAAGGCTATAAGTCCGGTTGGTTTCCAGTGCGGGGGTCTGTCGTATCAGTCACATGTCGTAGAATGGTAGTTGTGTGAGTTTTTGTTTTGCACGTTGATGATGGGTGCCATATCTCAAATGCACAATGTTTCAAAGTGGTGAAGCGCCCATGGTCTGTCATATGCACAAGTATGGTAGTGTTCATGACTAACGTAGTTCTGGTGAGTATGGTGTTGTAGTGTATGCACGCGTGCGTTTACGGTGCTCCCCCCGTAAGTGCATGGTTAAACGTCGGCAGAGATTTATTGCATTCAGGCCAAAGTGACTTACTTCGCGGGCTTCACAGTCCCGTGGAGTGCATTGGAAGTAGATAGCAATATTGGTCTGTTTCAACTTATCTTTGTATCGGTTGAGGTTACTTGCGATTATCAGGGAAGATGCTTTTTGAACTTTCGTAGCATATGACCATGCAACAAGTTTTGGCTTTTGTCGCTGATCAGTGCGGCACAATGTCACGCAGTCCTTCCCTATCAGTTTTTCAAGATCGGGTGGCAGTATTTTGTAAAACAATTTCACTATTTCCTGAGAAAGGGGTAAAGCGGGATTATATCCGCAGGGCTTTAAAAATTGTTCTTGGTGGAATGCTTTTGATAGGGGGTTAGACCGGCTACGTCAGACGCTTATGAACCATTGTTACTCAAACACTAACTTTGGAAATGCCACGAAATCCTTACACGATCATTTTAAATAAAAAGGCAACAAGATAATGCCCCTCGTGAATGTCAGAAAACGATGAACCTTATTTACAAAAGACTATGACTCCATCATGGGAGACCGATGAAAACGTATTGCGTGACATTGCCCTCCAGCACTGCGCCCCCATCTAATCAACGGGAAAAGCGATTTGCAATGTACTGCAAATGTTCAACAACAACTTCCCCAGTGATAAAAAATGGCCTCCACCAAAGCAAAGATAAGTTCAAACAGACCAAGTGTAGTTTAATGTTTCCAATGTAATGCCGAACTGTGAAACACACAAAATACACTACACTGGCCTGACAACAAGTCACAGCCATGCAAAGAGCACCGTAAACACATGCGTGCGTACATTACACCATACTCACTAGAAATACGTCAGTCATGGACATTCCTACACCTGCGCATACCACAGACCATGGATACCTCGCCACACTTGGAACGTTATACATCAGAGACATATGACACCCGCCTTCAACATACAAAACAACTCACCAAGCTACCACTCTACGACATGTGACTGATGGAGCAGACCCCCGCACTGGAAACCAACCGGACCAGTAACCTTTTAACTTGATTGGTGACAATGTAAAACTCTCTAGCAATTATGAGTGTGTCTGGAATTGAAGCGGGCAGCACGCAAATGCTACTTTTTAAATGCCTCG